CAGTGCCCGCTGTCGCAACGGCCGCGTGGTATGCGTAGCTACAACAAGGCCACAGCGGGCGGCTGCCCTTTCTAGAGGTCGCAGGTTATGGATCGACTTTCTTGTCGTTTGTTTCCCGCTTTTCTCTTCCATCTTTTTCTAGGATCGACTGGGATTCCTTTTGATGTTGGTATTAGTGGATACTGTGTACATAGGTGCGTAAGAAGCTCGATAGGGCGAAGGACCAGGATACTGGGTGATCCGGTGCCGAGGGAGAGAGAACTGGGTGGGATGAGGAGGGGGTAAAGAGGAACATGAGGACCAGGCTTGAAATGGCGGCAAAGTATTCAGACTGGTGATGAACAGGTATGACGCTGTGTCTTCGAAGGGAGAAGGGATCTACCGTGGTGAAACCCCTATCTCGTTGGCTCATGGCAGGAATTAACACAACGCCTCACTTCCGTTTAACCAAGGTCCTAGAGGAGCAAGAAAGGGATGAACAGAATGCGCCCGAGACCGCTGTATAATACAGAAGCATGCAAAATGAAGAAGCAAGAACTCATCATAGAAATCATCATTGTATGTATGTAACAATTCTAAAGGCCCCCCTGCTTTCTTCCGGGAAGCATACATTCTAGGCCAGACCGGTACGCCGTTTCAGGGAGTGCGTAAATTCATTAGTACATCTGATAGTCCGAATCGATGCGAGTGTAGAGGAGTGACCAGCACAAAAGAGACAACAGACACTGAGACAGATAGGAACAGAAAAAGCCAACGACAGTGAGAAAAGCCCCGAGGTATTTTTTCCCAACCCGGAACCCAAACGTATAAGATGACCCCCTTGATACCCTCCCACATCAAATTTGCTTGACCGTTTTCAGGTTCGCTTATCATGGGTGGAAATGCGTATCCCAGTGCTCGTTTTTGATGTTCATGTGCTCAGGCATGAGAGACCCCAGTGCGGGAGATCCATGCATGTCGCCGGCGTGCCCTTGACCGGCCTGGTGATCGCACAAGGAGCCAACGCCAAAGCCATCGATATCGTACGCGGCATCGAAGGCCGAGTAGATTGGACTCGGTGCCCAGGAGTTGTGGTCGTGCTCGTGGTGATGCTGTTCTGGCTCGTGTGCGCAGGCCATCGCCGATGGTAGATCGAAGGTCGGGTGAGCGCCCATAAGGCTCGTCGACGGGCTAAATTGCAGGTTATGAGGTGCGGAGAACATGTCGTCGCTACACGGGGTGAGCATCCTGGGTTGGAAGGTCTGGCATTCCGTGGCTGTGGGAGACGCCATGGATGTTGGTGTGAACTGCTGTCGGTAGGGAGGTTGGCTATGTTCGTGCTTCACTTTGACGGGAGATCTAGCACGAGCTTCGGCTTGATGAAGAGCTTCGAGAGTCCCTGGTTCTGGCTTGACCATCTTCTCGTCGTCTTCCTCTTCCTTTTTCGGTGGCTTTTGCTCCTTCTTGTTCTTCGTAACCCGGTTCTTGTTTGCGGCGGCTCTATTACGTTTTTGAGGCTCGAGGCCCAACATCGCCGAGCGGAAACGGGAATATCTCATCCGTGCAGCGTGGCCGTTGGTGATGGGTTGTGACAGTATCGGATCATGGGCGACAGCATTCCAGTCGATCTGGAGGTTGAGTAAGTTACCAGTCGAGGTGGTGAAATGATAGTAGAGAGTACTTACATCCTTGAGGTTCTTCTGTTTCAAGATGGCGAAGAGAAATCTCGTCATCTGGTTGTCTGTATTGGAGGACATGTTGAGAGTGTTGGTGGGCTGTCTCGTCTCGAGCTGACCAGGCTATGGAGTAGAGGTGAGGTCGATATTGAAGTCAGTGAGCTGGAGGAAAGGGGAGTAATTTGAAATGCACAGCGATAGAAGCTGAAGCTTTGGCTCAACCCAGTCAACCAGCACACGACTGGTAAGTGTGGAGTTGAAGTAGTGGAAATGAGTCAATGTGAAGATTGGTGAGGCAAGGCGAAGCCCAGATATATGGCATCCAAGTCAGCAGGTTGTGATCTAGAAATGGTGCAACCACTGAAGACGAGGCCAGTCACCGGTTGGTGTGGGTGGTCAATGAAGGTGAGGCGGACAAAAGAGGCAGACAAGGAGGATTCGTCAGAGGGCAGCCAGACAACCCCCGGGACATCAACGGTAGTTATAGGTGCTTTAGAGAGGGCCCATGGACCATGGAACTAAAGGGAATGGGCATGCAAGTCGGCTTGATGCTAGTACCGAAGCTCGATGGGGTAAGTGCTTGTGGATTAGCAGCTGGAGTTGGCGCTGGCAACTGTACAGTATGAAGAAAAAGAAAGTCGAACGAAGATGCTTTCAGGGAAGACGCCGCGGCGCTTGGGCCGACATTTTATTGAGGTGTAAAAGTGGCAAACCCCTTGGTTGAGACACAAGGAATCAAAATAGTCCCTTGTTGCCTGGAGTTACGGCGGCAGGCTTTGACGGGGACGCATGTCCTTGAGTGAGAGGGGAAGAGGGGGGTGTGACATTTGTGGAGGGTGTGGAGAGATGATGTGGTAGGTGAGGTGTGGTGAGGTGTGGTGAGGTGCAGACGCAAGTGCATGGCATCCATGGACGGGATGGGATGGTTTGGGATCCAATGGCTTGGAGTTTTTGATGGCTGCCCTGCTCACTCGAGCGCTGATGAAAATGGTGGAGGGGAGCTAAGAGGGTCGAGGTGTGTCGCGGCGCGGGGCCGTGTCATTTGCGCGTAAAGTGGTTTGAATTCCCTAGTGGTTTTTTTTGCGCTGTCTTTCTCTCACCATTTTTTTTTTTTTTTTGCCTTTAGGCGTCCGCAGATCCCTTCCCTGCACTTATCCGACGTGATGAAGTCGACTTGACTCTCTCCGACGAATGAAGGTTTGAGCGGAAGGCCAGGAATTGCAAGGTGTTTCGCTTAGCGTGTCCCCCGACATGCAAGCACTAATTGATATCAACCCTTTTGCACTTGCAGGCAGAATTGACTCGTCAATTGACACGCAGTTTTGGGGTCATTTTTTTTTTCTTGCTGGGGGAACTTTTTTTCGTCGGTCGAATGGGCCCCCCCATCCCGATGCAAGATCCAGGAACGCCCAGCGGACCACTTGGAAACGGAACAGGGATCTTAATGGCATGAGACAGGTATGCGGTATGGATGTGTGACTCACTCTTCGAGTACTTTAGTTCAAGGTAGCTTCGGAAATGGAGGGGGTTGGGGCGATTGGCTATGTCCATGTTGCAGCTCCCAGTTCGCGCACTATTCATTGGCGGCCTTCCCACACCGAGTCGTCAAACAAACTTACGCAGCAGGCGGTCGACAGATACCTGTGACGACGCAGCATGATGCCTTTTGCTACGTATACTTGGCTTGCGAACACCCGGGTTTAGTTTGCACACCTAAGGTAGGGGTAAACCTGCTAGTAACCGCAAGGTTGGCGAAGCTTGCAGCGGCGGAGTTCTATGATGCGGGATACGGCGAATAATGGCAAACAGAGTTTGAGCCTCTTGGCCCGGTTTAGTGCCCCCTGGATTCGTGCTCCAGTCAATCATACTGTCGTAATCTCAATCTCGTGTCTGGCTGGGACATCCGTCGGGTGCTGGTGATGCGAGCCGGCGAGGGGAGGGGTCAATCGAGATGAACGTTCAGTTTGGCAATTGAAGATTGGGATTAGTCGTTCAACGAGCAAAAGCACTTTGGGGACGAGAAAAAATTGCGAAAAAATGACAGCATGCATATTGAAGCCATGAAATGTGTGAAAGTGTCGCCCAAAGACCTGTTTGGTGTCGTAGGCGACACGCGATGAAGTTGGTGGGATCGGGTGAGGTAGTCTGGAGACGCGCCTCGCGATTCCGAGGGGGGCACTGTGTCCTCGCAATATTCCCACGAAACCACGTGATGTGTCATCTAGATCCACTTTACGCATCGTTTACGAATCCACCTGTAGTTGCTGCCTGAGGTCTGTCAGCGTCCGTTCTCCACACCTACCACAACCGGCCTGAGATGGTGAGGGGAGAGTAAAGCGGCGATTGCGACAGGGAGCCTGGATGAAGGGGCCTCCCGCGGCTGTTTGGGAGAAGCTTCACAGAGGCAAGCTGCCTTGATTCTTATCCTCATTGGAGCAAATTGCGCGTTTTCACAGAGAGACCATAGACTATGATTGCCTCACGCAGCTCAGTAGTCACAATCGAAGTTGCCTCTTCAGTCATCTGTCCAGTGTGCGGCTTAAGGCGCATGCAAGACAGATTGCACCATTGATCCCCAAGGTTGAAGGTTGACCTCCCTTGAACCAAAGTACGAGTAGGTAGGTATTCGGGAGGCTACCTCACACCGGCCGGCCATGTCTTGCAATCAGGCATTTGACAGATACGCTATCATTGCCAATCGAGTCGGCTGCAGGCGGGCGGCGGGCCAGATTCGACGTGTCTCACGAATCCATGTAATACTGAACGCACAGCCGTCACTGCACGACTGACCAGGCAGCTCATGAAAACAGATTTCCGTGCAAAGAATAACATGTCGAAACGTATGCAGCAAGGCGCAATTGCTCAGGTCTTTGGTATGGAACGTGTCGTATTTACAAGACAATTGGTCGGAAGAGCAGACGAAGCCTGGGCAGGTCAGTGAGAGAATAGGTAGAGCATGAAAGCCGTTAATCGTCTGCCCAACTGCGACGGGACGCTACAACACTGGGGAGGGCGCCGTCATTTGCCGCCAACCTACCTACAGGGTGCCACAGCTCGCTTGATGAACGGCTAAACGCCGGGGGTTCTGCACATGGGAGACCTTCGGAAGATCCGCCCGCGATCTTGCAGGCGTCTTTGGTCGCGATATCTCCTCGACGCTAGCCTCCCCAAACATGTTCACAATCATCTGAAAAAAATTGTTTCCTCTGAGAAAGTGTCCCAGAAGTTGTTCCCAAAATTTTGTAGTTTCCTGTCAGGTCATGAGGTTTCGCAAAGGTGCATGCAAGTCGAGCTCTTGCCCGGCGAAACGTTAAACCGCGCCAGGGAGCCACTCAAAACCCAGCGCCTTGACTTTGCTGTCTCGCGCCCCCCAACCACCTTCGACCCATCGTTCTCTCGAGCTTAGCACACTACCAATTTCTCATCCTCGACCGCAAAAGATAGCTACCAACTCACATCCACTTTCAATCGTATAAGTCACGACTAACCGTATCATCCACGCGAATCGCCGACATTATCCGTCGCATTTGCCATGAATAAAAATTGGAATGACAGGGCCGACAAGGATCTGTTCTTTACCATCCTGTCTGTGAAGAACATTGGCGTCATCAGCGGTTCGGAATGGACCACCATCGGCAACCACATGCGTACACTGGGTTACGGCTTCACCAATGAAGGCTGTAGGTGAGTTTGGCGCGCCTCTCTTCCACGTCTATTCTTCCGACCTACTCGCAACTTCATCCGCAGCACATGAAGGCGTCGTCATTGCGATTCGGTATTTCCAGAGAAATTGCGCGTATTTACGCGCCTTCACTTCTGCGCCGACCATTTTCTCGCCATCTGCACTTCCCCGCTCTGTATTCTCTCTTAGTCTTCTTAGTGCTCATTCTTCTCTGTTTCCCTCCTTGCCCCCCCCTCCCCCCCCAAGTGTACCGTAAGATCTATTGTCGAAGTCAAGGATCAAGGCGAGGACTGCCTCCGAGAGTCCTTTCACACTTTTCGTAGGACATCGAAATTATCACGTCATTTCAGTTTCCTTTCAAGGTTCCAATGCAAGCAACTAGATACGCTTCTGTTGCTGGGATGGCTTGACCATCGAGTTCGCTTCACCAGAAGTTTCTCATTTTCTCGCATTGAACACGCCTCCTTGATTCGTTCTGCTTATAGTAACTGACATAACGCAGACAACACTTCCAGGGCCTTCGTCGTGCCCAGCACAAGTCTGAGACGAATGGGGGCAGCCCTGACAACCCTCGCAAGGTCGATCCAACAACGAATCCAATCACTCGCCGCCCAGGCCCAGGTCGTGGGAGGCCCAAGAAGCAACCTCAGCAAACTGCGCAGCTTGCCATCGCCGCCTTGGCTAATCAGTCCGGCGAGCCTAGTCAGCCAGGTCAACTCGATCAACTTGAACCCGATCAAGAACTTCAAGATCTTCAAGCGGGTCAAGCTGGCCAACCTCAACCAGTCATACAGCCCGACCTTCAGGCTGATATCACCACGGATCTCCAACCTGACCTTCAGTCCGATCTGCAACCTCACCTTCAGTCCGATCTTCAGTCCAGTATTCAGCCCAATCTTCAGCACAACCACCAGCCCGAGCACCAGCCCAGTCACGAGGATCCTTTACAAGATGACCAGACGCAATTGGAAACGTCCATGATGGCCGACGGTCTTGACATATCAGAGTCTCTAGATATTCCCTTAAAAGACGACACTCTCGACCTATCTCTCAAGGATGATAACGATGACGAACAAGACGGCCCTAATGCCAAGAGAATCAAGCTCGACAACCCTGCTCATGATCATTCTCTCGTCGATGACGAAGCTGTATTAGCTTTGGCTGCGCACAGTGAAGCCCCATCTGATGGCTACACTTCCGAGTATCCCACAGCCGGCTTGACCGGTTCAGAAGACCCGCACACTTCCTTTTATGGTCCTGAGACATAGGAACAGCACTCGGCCCGTTTGAAAGCTTATGCGGCAAGGGCGGCGCCAGAAGCAGCGATGAAATTCGAGTTCGGCGAATTCGTTGATTTAGACTAGGCTTCAAACCTGTAAATCCGAGCCAGTCAACATTCCTCCACCCCATCAGTTTTGTTAGGCCAAGGCGTTATGCATCAAAGCGGTAGCGGCATCAGGAGCGAGATTATGAACACGACGAGGTGCTTGGAGTTTGGACTGATTGGGCGTTTTCATTGTCTTTGATCCTTCGACTTATAAAGGACGTATGCCAGACTAGCGTTGACCGAGTGTTTCTATTGAGAGTACTAGGTCTTGCGAATAATGAACTTGCCAGAACCTGCTGGCTCTTTCTACCTATCTGTTTCATTGAGATGCTTGTAGCCCAGACTCGAGAGCGAGTGCCGTTCATCGTTTCCTTTGACAAACCTCTACTGCCTTCTGGAACAACCAAGACTTCAACTGATGTACTAATACACACCATGTCCACACGCAGAGGCAGGTCGACCCACTCTGCTGACCTAGGTACACCTAGGCTGAGTAATAACCAAGGTAGGTGCCTACTTGAAGGTGAAGACAGCTAGAATGCTCTCGCCTTCTGAGTTCCTCATATCCACTTGTTCACAAAAGAGGCGGGAAGGCACCCGCTCTCTGGGTTCTGTTCAGTAAGGAGCAACAAGGCTCTCACCCTTTAAAATTCTAGCGCCAACTAATTTCTCAAGGGGCCAACAGGCTCTCGCCCTCTACGTTCCTCATGTCAGCTTGTTCACCAAGAGACTCCTGCCATTCCTAAGTTCTTTTCGCCATGAAGTGAGAAGGCTCTTGCCTCTTAGGCTCTTTCTACCAAGCGGAGAGGAGTTTCCTGCCCTCTGGGTTCCCTAAAGCAGCAAAAAAGCTCTCGCCTTTCAAGTAATCTGTACCAGGCGGGAAGGGTGCTCCTGCTCTTTGGTTTTTCTCGTCTGGCATTCAAACGACTGGTTCGACGCAGCTTACACAATCAGACAAGGTTGTGATTAGACGGCGGGAGTGAGCATCTTTATTGATCTAGGCCTCTTCGAAGGTAGTTAGAAGGTTCCCTCCCTTTTAGTTCTGTCGATTGAGGATGCTCTCGCCCTTTGAGTCTCTCGTCTCTCGTCTTGCGTTTGGACGATTGGTTACTTTGAAACGGTTCAAACATTCAGAAGAGGATGCGTTCAGATGAGTGAGTTTTTATGCTACTCTAGGCTGTGTAGTAAGCAGTCAGAAGGCTCCTGCCTTTTAAGTCCTGTGTACTCAGGATGCTCTTGCCCTTTGGACTCACTTAAGCCAGCAGTAAGAATGTGCCTTCTCTTTGGGTTTCTCGTCTCATGTTCGGACGATTGATTGCTGTGAGACGGTTCATACATCCAGACGAGATAGTGTTCAGACGAGTGAGGCTCTATCTGTACTGCTCTCGTCCATGTAGTAAGCAGTTAGATGGTTCTCACCCTTTAAGTTCTGTCTACTGAGGATGCTCTCGCTCTTTGGGTTCCTAATGCCGGCTTGTGTACCAACCGGCGAGAGGCCACGGCCTTCTCGACTCTCTATATAATCCCCTTGAGATACGACCTGGAGAGCAATCTCCCTTTTCCTCTTTAAACATTGCAAGATTCTCCTCCTCAACCATCACGAAATTTTTGCGGTCTCCTCACCCAAACACACTTTCAGAACATCATTTCCTAGGGCTATTTAGTCTTGCTATCATCAACACCAACCTCATCATCATCAACAATCAAGAACAACATCGCAACAATGTCTGACAATAAGCCGACCGGAAAGTGGGCAAACCCGGCCTTCCTCAAAAGCCTCGTCCTTGGACTCTACCACGAGCTGAAGCACGGCGGTCTCCAGCAGGAGGCTAAGGACCGTGTTGAGGCGAAGCTCCATCGCGATGGCTTCGAGGACACTACCTGGGACGGCATCCGGTATGTATACATTTACTTTTTTTTCTTTTTCTTGGCTGTTCCATTTCGTATGGTTTCCGTTATGGCACGCTTTTGCTACCTGCCCCTCCTGGCGGCTTTTTTCTGTCCACCCGGGAGCCCGTCTGTCGCTTTCGCTGCCTGATCCAGGTGCCTCAAGATATCCTTCCCATCCGCTTCTTTATACACGCATCTTGTCAGCTCCACCATCTTTCCTTGACACAACCCTTCTTTTCCACATTCCACGAGTTATTCCCCATCTACCAACCAAACACTACACGAACGCAATCGAAATGTCTGAGAAGTCTGCTCCCGGCGGCAAGTGGGCCAATCCGGCCCTCCTTGAGGCTCTTGCTATGGGCTTCCATAGCATTGCCAAGGGCGAAGGCCTTACGAAGGAAGCCAAGGACTCCGTCATCCTGAAGATCCATTCCTATGGCTTCACAGATATCACCTGGGAGGCTGTTCGGTGTGTATCTTCCCTTTTGCTGGTTGCTCAGACCGAGACTTCCTGCCCTCTCTTCCACTCTGGCGATTACCTCTTCCCTCGTCCTGCGCTTTTTATTTATTTCTCACCTCGGCCTCCTGTGTCTCTTCCTTCTTCCACCTCTCATACTCAAGCCGACTCGTACTCACCCCGATTCATATCAAATTCCATGAGCTGTTTACCAATCTTCATCACGTCGAGTCCCATTCATTTCTTCTATATCCCTTCGGAATATGTCTCGCTCAATGATGCGGTGGACAGCTGAGGTCGACCAGCAAATCTTGGTCGCTATGGTCAAGACGATGGTTCCATCCGCTGATCAGTACTCACTCATCATCGGCGAGCTTCACTCAGTCGGTCATACTATGACCGTTTCTGCCTTGAAGTGCGCCTTCCCATGCTTTTTGTTTTGGTCTTTCCCACTTCTGCCTATCCAGCACTCTCCTTCCTGCCACGCTCCATATGAATCCCCAGACCAAGCGCCTTTCAGTCTTTTTCTTCCTTCCCCTCTCAACATCAACCACTCTTACCCACCTATTTCATTATCACCCACCTTACACTACAGCTTTCATACCACTACCAATCAGGATGGCTCCAGTCACCGTGTGGAACGATGAGGCCCGATCTGACCTTCTGGTCGCGCTTCTGTCGGTGATCAAGCCCTCTAAGGAGGATTGGGACCGCGTTCTTCCTATAGTCCATGCCAAGGGCTATGCCTACAACGCCAATGCTGTCCAGTACTTTCCGCCCGCTTTCCACATCTCCCTCCCCTCGTCTCCCCGTTTTCTGTTCAAATTTTTCGGACGTTCTTAATCTCGAAAATTTTAGTTGAGTTCTAGATGCTAACAAATTTCTCCAGGCAGCACATCCAGAAGCTTCAGCGCAAGGAGCTTACCGCCGGCGACGGTGGCGACGGCGAGGCGTCTAGCTCTACGACTCCTCAGAAGAAGGCCGGCAAGAAGGCCGCCACCCCCAAAAAGCGCAAGACGCCTCTCAAGTCTAAGGCCAAGGTCAACTCGGAGGACGATGAGGATGAGGTGGATGAGGAGGGGGAGCAGGAGGCTCCTCCCCCCAAGAAGCCGCGCACCCCTGCGCGCCCCAGGTAAACCGAACCGATTTCCGATGGCATCAATTCCATTTCACTAATCACATGGACGAAAAAGCATGAAGGATGAATTCCACGAGGACACCAAGGCCACTGGCACCAAGTTCGTCCCTGTCAACAACGAGATCTAGATGCATCTTTCGACCCCCAATACATCGATTCGACCATAGCGACATGGCATTTTCAGGACGGTTTACTGGCTTTTCTGGAGTTCGATATGGCAGGCTTGGATGAGCGATACGAAGGGTTGGCAATCTTGGAGATCATTGGGATTGGCTCAGGACTGGAAGCTATTCACCTTACTGCGCAAAACATTTTGACACAGGTCATGAGATATCTGAGAATTCTCAAATATTACATCGAGAATTGAGAAGATCATTTGCTTTCTCAAACTATCTCCCGCAAGGTTTATATTCTCGCACCTCTTGAATGCCTGGGAATTTCCCATGACTTCCGCGCACTCACCCCCAGCCCCTGAGTTTCTATATCCATATCACTTGATGTCTTGCTTGTATGTTGGCAGTAGTTGACAAGCGGTCGCCATGGCTTTCCGACAAGGAATCCCCATCTCTTCTACGCATACATTTGCCAAACGAAAGGAGCCCATGTCCGCGAGTAGGTACCTGATCTCTCAATTCCAGACGAGCGACATCACCACCACTTCCCATTGACCAGAGTCTGGGAACGAGACATGCCCTCCAGTATGCTTCGTCTGCTTAGTATCTTCCATCGGACGGCCACATCGTCTCATTACGAAGCAAGAACAAGCCTAATATATCTCCCCTGTTGGTCGGAACTTCACTCAGTCGGATACTGGCGGTTCAAACTCAAGCTCATCCATTTTACTTCCCTCATCGTGCCACAAAGGAATAAAAAGCCCATTTCCTTCACCGTTTTCGTCAGGATTTCATTTCGTCACATCATCAAAAGGTAGAATATAAACCCATTCCTTTCACCTTTCTCATCACAGCTTCTTTAAGTCGGATCTCCAGCTCATCCTCTGCGCCCTTCTCGTCGGAACTTTCTTCTACCGCAATGAGTGAGATCTGCCCACCACCGCTTCCGCTCATCTGATTGAAGTTCACCTTCCTTATTGCACTACGTGCCCAACTACATGCTTTCCATTTGTTTCGAAAAACTTTAGGACCCTATGTCCTAACACCGCTCCAAGTTCACAACTTCTTCGCCATTTTAATTCAGGTTACGGCCCCCTTATCACAATCTTTGTCAAAGTCTATGATTCCCAGTCATCTACTTGAATTTTTAACTATCCTGCATCAAAATGTGAGCGCAAGTCCAGGCCCCCACCATTTAGTAGGAGCCTCCCACTACCGCGTCACACTCATTAAGAGGGTGTAGATCTGAGATCACAGCCCCCTTTCTTGTCTAAAACTTTTCAGTCGGAGAAAAAGTCTCCACCTACCGAGGCGGGTACTGTTTCTAAGCAACTTCTCGAGGCGAGTGCTATCTGACAACCACTTTAGATAAGTGTTATCTCTCAAAGACATCAAACGAGTGCCATCTTGTAAGCCTTTGAGGTGAGAACCGTTCCATAACCCTTCGAGGTAGATGCTATCTCACAATTCAGACGAGTTCTATGTGTTCTCCTTGAGGGCGAAGGACATCACTCAACTTCTTGAGACGAATATCATCTCACAACTCTTTGAGGCAAGTGCCACCTGTTCACCTGTAAAGGCGAGTGTTGTCTCTCAACTCATTGAGACGAGCATCATTTTACAATCGTTTGAGGCGAGTGCCATCTCACACTTCAGGCGAGTGCTATCTATTCACCTGCCTAGTCGGGCACCATTTTTGAACCATTGAGGCGAGTACCATCCTGTGTTTCCTCGAGGCGAGTGCTACCCCTTTACCCCCTGAGGTGAGCGCCCGCCGTCCCATAGTAAGGCGAGTGTTAGCTCTCAGATTCTCAAAGTTCTTTCCTGCTTGACCTCTCTGGCTTCTCAAGATCTCAACTCTCACACAGGATATATAATCCCCTTATTCCCCCCTCCACTGACCAAACCTCTTCCTCTTCAACCTACCTCACCTCTCACAGCCCCTCGACTAGAGAGCGAGATCTTCGACCATAGAATATCAGCATTATTACGCTTTGCTATATACGGCATACCAGGTACGTTGTTTCTAACTCATGTTATGTATCTCGCATTTTGAGTCTCAACTCATCTCGAAACTCTTTTTACTATGACCGACGCAAAATATTCCAGCCTCTACCCCTTTCTCCCATCACATCATCGAGATCCTACGCGCTTCTGTGTTTGTTTCTACCTCACCCATACAGCGCGCTCCTCATTTCGGTTCATACCGCCCAGCAATCAACATCAACTCTCTCAAAACCTGCTTTCCTCACTTCCCTTTACTTCACGACTCTCTTCCACCCTCACTAATCATACTTCCTCTCACACATCATTCTTGCCTTCGTCGCTGGGTCGTCTTTATCTCTTGGAATCTCAATATCTCTGCTCGATTCTCATTCGGAGACCTGGGGTATTGAGACTGACCTTCTTAGCACTCTACATCGCAGCATCGGCAACAATGGCTGGTAACTCTTGGACCGCCGAGGCCGAGAAGGCTCTCTTGCTCTCCATTGCCACCACTGCCAACGCCGGTGCTGGTACGAAGCCTGAGTGGGCTGCCGTCACTCGCCGCATGAACCGCCTCGGTTATAACTTCACCTCTACGGCCCTCGCGTGAGTAAGCATCTCGTCATACCGTCTTTAGCAGAACTAACCACAGTACCGTTCACAGTCAGCGCTACGGCAAGTCTTTGGCCAAGCCTTACAATGATCGTGTCAACGCGGCCGCTGAAGTGCCCATCACTCCGGCTTCTACTCCTTCTCGCAAGCGTGCTGCCCCCAGTTCCGGCGCCAGGGCGACTAGAACCTCCACTGCCGGTGGCTCTGGCCCGGTCCAGGCCGCCAATGAGATGGCTTCGCTTGCTCTTTCGGCTGACAACGGTGGTGATGATGCTGAGCCCGACATGGAGGACTCCAAGAAGCGCATGAAGTTCACTCACGGCAGTGCTTCTGTTGGTCTTGATCCTGGTCTTAATGGCCAGCAGATTGATCTTACTGGTGATGATACTGGCGTCAATATCGAGAACACCGCTCCTGCCGCTGATGAGAACGGACAGCCGATTGACCTCACCGATGACCAGGTCGACATCAAGCCTGAGGTTGAGGTCCGTTTCCTCAATGCCTCCTTCAGTCATCGTGCCCGTGCTCGGAGGTATGTTATTACGGATTCCCGTTTTCACGTTCTATACCTTCAGCTAGACCCATTCTTGCCATCCCAACACTTCAGGCCCCGAGCTTTTATTGGCGTTTTTGTGGCTCTACCAGCTTCACCAGCAAGAAATCGCTTCTCCCTGGCCTCCTCCTTCCATCTACGGGCTGTCTCTTCCTTCACCCTTCCGCTCAAATTCGACACTTCTACCTCCTACCCTCCATCACTACCTTCCGTCTCTCCGAACTTCCCTCTTCCACCCACAAGTTCCAACCACACATTAGCTTTCAATTTCCACAATCAAACTTCCACATTATACACAACTTCCTCTTCAAGCACCAAACACTTTCAGAAGATGGACCTAACTCGGAAATTCCACAGCATGACCCTCAACCCCATCCCGACCAACGAGGAGTACTTCGAAGTCATGGGAATCATCCCCCAGTCCCCCAAGGTCATCCCTCGTACCTTGCCCAGAAACCCCGTCTAGGTGAAAATCGAGAAGGAAGTCTTGGCCGCCTGCGAGGCAGGTCGCAAGCAGCTCCAGGAGATCAACGCGAAGAAGGCAGCCGACAAGGAGAAGGCTTGCAAGGCAGCCGAGGAGAAGGCAGCTGAGGCGGCTGCTCAGGCGGCTGCAAACGCGACTGCGATGGACTTGGATTAATTGAGGATGATGATTGGTATGCGATGAAACCCATTTCTCTTTGATTTCCCTGCTCTCATGACTTTAACGATGGGTGGGGAGATTTTGGGAAAGAAGGGTTTTCGTTTACCGTCTCTTTTTTCTTCATGCTTGCTACTGGAATTGATGGCAAGGTGGTCCGACTGAAACTGGCAATTTTTCGGCATCGGGAACGGGTTTTCTTCGCTTTTTCTCTTCTCTCGCCAGCTTTTTCGTTCGTTTCTCGGCTTTCTCCATCCTTTTTCACTCATCGACACCTTTTCTTCTTCGCAACACCAAAACAAACGACCGCCGCCATTGGGTTGATTGGATCTGGAGTGGCAATGGAGGAGCGAATGGAGAATACGGGGATTCTCGGATAATGGAGGCTGGGATGGACGGAAACTGGGAGGGAAAGGGCTTTTGGGTTTCGTTTTTTCCGCCGGAAGGGGGCTAGGTGGCTCATCGATTACAAGGGATTTCTGGCAGAGAGAGAACGTTTCAAAGGACTGATTTGACGGGGTATGGCTGAGATTACCGCCCCTTTGACTATTGCTTGCGGAGGATTTCAGAATCGGCTCGTATAGCAGCAAGCTTGCTCTTTTGCTAGCTTATCTTTCTAGTCAGAAATGGAAGTCATAATCTGCTAATCTTGAGTACACCGATTGCTGTACGAGTGAAGACCTTTTGGTATATTAGTCCGATTCCTGCGACAATGCCATCGTGGGCGGCGATGACAAGATGAGTGTTAGGGTACTGCTCACGTTGATGTCGTGTGCCCTCGGCCTCATTGACTTCGGCCATTACTTTCTTGACCAACTTCGTCTCAGACACGGGAATCGTAAGTAATCTCAATCATTTCATTTTCGGGAATCTAATCACCGTTTGACTGTCCCAGACGATGCTGCCCTGGTAATTAGAACCATGCGCCCAGAATGATTACCCATCCCGCCCCCAAACGCCATTTGATCCATCCCAAATCATAAGTATGTTCTTGCCTGCACATCGCTATCCTACTCGATGCCGCGAGGCTTGGGGCCGCGGCTATCCACTCTGCGCCCCTCCGCGGGTCCCTTCTTCTCCGGAGCCTTCTCCTTCTCCTCAGCCTCGCCCTTGCGCTTGGCTCGAAGTGTCTGGCCCTGGCCCGCAAAGTGCGGACGCTTCTGCTCCTCCAGCTCACGCTTCTTGTCGTCGTCGGTCTTGACCGGCTTGATCTCATAGCCGAAGAAGAGCTTGTTGGGCGGGAGGCGGAGAGGCATGGGACCGTTGTTGTTCCGGCGCGGGATGGGCAAAGCGGGCGGGTTGGCTGAGGCTCCAGCGATGGGAGTCGCTGGCTTGGGCGTCGACGCCTTGCTCCCCTTCTTGCTGAGCTTCTGGCCTTCGCCGTAGAATTTAGCGTTAGTCGTCGCCGAACCAGGGGCGATGGCGCCGTAGTTGATTGACTGGGCCATGGATCCTTGGCTGTGTAGCAGACCGCCGGCGGGGAGGCCACCGCGTCCACTTCTGGGTGTGCTGGTTCCGCTGCCTCTCTGTTGTCTCTCTGGCTCGACGTAGCCGACCGGTGGCGCAAAGTCGACCTCGACATCGGTCTCGATCAGACACACTCCCATCTTGTCCGTCTCCGGCTTGACCTCAAGGACCGCCACGTTGTAGATCTCGTCATTATACTCGAAGTTGAAGACATCACCCTTGGTGAGAGCGGCGAAGTTCCTAAATGCCTTCTCCAGCACAGCCTTGGGATCGCTGATATCGAGGAAGTTGGTCGATTGGGGCTGCAGCTTGACCAGCTTGGCAAGCTCAAGGGAAGTTGTCTTGATTTGGATCATGTCGCCAACATCCAGTGAGAGAGTTTGCATCATCTGGTCTCACACGTTAGCAACGCCACCTCCGCGACGACCAGCCCAGCGCGGGCCAAGATAGGATAGGACCACGAACCCAATGGGGAAGGTATGCTCTGCCCTCCTCCGCGACGAATTCCAACACACCGGCGTGGGAATGCTTTCCCTTCTCGCCATTTATAATCTCCATAAGCAACGGCCATTGCACGTGGAGCTTGGAGACCTTGTCGAGGGCAGAGGGCGGCAGGAAGATCTTGGAACCGTAGTTGAGGTCGGGTCGCTCGGGCCCAGGTGCCATCACCATGGGGTAGCATCGGTAGTACTCGTCGAAGCGCTGGACGATCGGCCGGCGGCCACCGCGTGCGAAATTATACATGTCTGCTTCGTTGGGGTCGAAGCGATACTGGGAGCTCAGAATTAGCTGGGGTGATTTAATGAGTTGGACAGCTAGCTTACCATCTGGGTGGGCGGTTTGGTGAGTAAAGTATCTTTTTGGCAGCAGACAGAGGAAGATCCAAATGAAGAATGTGAATCCCGATCTGTTGTTCGAGTGCGGAAAGCTAACTTGGGCAGCGTTCTTTGAATCAGAGCAGTTGTGGCTGCCGCAGATGGTGAAAGAAGGTAGCTTTCGGTCTTTGAGTGTGATGAATGGGGACCCGCGGTCTACGTGGGGCCGCAAAGGCAACTGATGAATGACGAAACCCGCTGGAAGGTCGGCTGGGCTCCACCAAAAAATGACATGCCCGACACCCTGGTCGATACTTTAATGCCCATGCAACTTTGTAGGGAATTCGAGGTATCCGCTCTCAGATGCATTCCAGACTAGAACGGGACGTTTAGAGCTGCTGCATCCAGCCAACCTAGAAAGAAGCTCTTCCAAGACAAAGCTCAGCTAGCCCTGCCTCGCTTTGCATCCTAATCTGTCACAACCTACACCACATCCTCAGGTATAGCCAGCCCGAAGATGGCCTCCAGACACTCAGCAGCGCGCCCCAAAAGGGCAGGCGAAACCTTTGCGCGAACGCACCACCACGACGCCGAAGCAGACGACGGTCACGATTCCAAGAAACTAAAGTTTGACGTCCGCAACCCCTCCGCCCTGGCCCCCGATGCGCCAGAAGAAGACGCCATCCTCGACGCCGACGTCATTGGCGGCGGCGGGGGAGCGACGAAGCGCGGCGCCGTGAACCTAGACGGCTACGACAGCGACTCGGACAATGAGCGCAACTTCAAGTCGCGCGCGAACGAAAAGCATAAGGGCAGGAAGGATGGCGATGCGGATTTCTTTGGCCAGTTGGATAGCTATGACGCCAAGAGTAGCGGTGCTGACGGCAAGGGGGGCAAGGCTAATGAGGATGACGACGAAGATGACGACATGTTTGCCGCGGACGACGATGATGAAGAGAAGGAGGGAAAGGTAGCGGAGGTAGGGACCAAGGCGGCAGGGAACAAGGCAGTGCGCTTCCTTGACGACGCACAAATTCAAGGACAGGAACTACACAGTAAAAGCGGAGGGCAGATCCGCCTAGACGACGAGGAGAGCAGCGACGATGAAGAAGACAAAGAGTTGGCGATGCAGGAGGAGGGTATCGACGAGGAAGTCGGCCTCGGCGGCCTGAAGCGAAATGCGCCCAAGGTCGAGGCGTTTAACATGAAGGACGAGCAAGAGGAGGGCCGCTTTGACGAGGATGGCAACTTTATCAGGAAAGCTGTGGACCCGAACGCCGTGCACGACAAGTGGCTCGACGGGCTGAGCAAAAAGGACCTAAAGAAGGCAGCGGATGCACATGAAAGACGAGAAGCCGAGGCGCGGAGGTTACGGATGGAGAATGACGATATCTTGACGACGGACCTACTCAAGGCGCTTATCGTGAGGTTAGAAAGGGGCGAGACATCCCTCGAGGCCCTGGCAAGGTTGGGCAAGGGGCAGCCCAAGATGAAAAAGATACCCAAATGGAAGCTCAAGAAGCAGAACAAGGCCGGCGGCGGCGATGAGGCCATGGACGTCGATAAGGAAAAGGACCAGCTCAGCCCGGAGCAGCAGAAGAGAAAAGAGGCCATCGAGGCCATCACCGACGCGGCGGACAAGCTCCTGAGTCGAGACCGCGCCGAGATTTACGACGAGGAGAGGGAGATGCTCGTGCGTGAGTGGCAGCGGGAGACGGGCGAGCAGTGGGTTGAGCCGGCAAAGGACGGCGCCGATGAGGATTTGTCCTCGAGGATGTGGGAGTTCCGGTGGACGGATGGGCGTGACAATGCGGATAAACAAGGGCCGTACGATGGACCCACGATGAAGGCATGGCAGGATGCCGGGTACTTCGGTGAGGGCGTTGAATTCCGGCCGGTTGGTGATGACGCCTGGACGAGGGTCGCGACGTTTGTATAATCGTTCCGCCGAATGGAACACATCACAAACAAAAAAGAGTAAAGTAGTAACAACTCACAAAGACGGGTGCATGAATAAAAAAGCCTTGCATTCCTGGCATCGTCACGATGCTACCATTCAAACATTTATGGTACATAATCTATCATACGTCCCAGGGGGTGGCCACCTATTTTACTGCCCAAAAACGCCCAACACGGAAGACCCTTTAACACGCTTAACTCAGCTCCATCGCATCGCCATGGCCATTAGTGACGGTGAAGTCGACGGCACCGTCGTTGCCGATTAGGCGCTTCTCCGACTCGGACACAAACTTGACGCTGCGAGACGGGTCGTAGAAGAGCGAGAAGCTCCTCTGGACGTCGGCAATCTCGACCTGCTTCGCTCGACGCTTGGCGCAGATCAATTGAGAAGTGGTGATGAGGTTGCTAGCGTAACGCAGGCCTGCCTCCTGACCGATCTTTGTGAGCAGCGCCAGAGCGTCGGCTGAGACGTCAACCTCCTCTTCTTGAGCTCTGATAGTGATGATCTGCTTGATCTCTTCGGGGCTGTAAGTGTTTGTGTGGATGATGACGACACGGTCCAGGAAGTCGAGGGGCAGACCGTGGGGGCTGCGGTAGTCGGTTCCACGGATGCGAGAGTTGCCCCTGTTGCTGGCCATGATGACGATGGGCGCGAGATCGTCTTCCAGGGCACGGTTGATGTATGAGAAGCACTCAATGTCGAGCATGTGAACCTCGTCGATGAACAACACGCCGGGAACAATCTCGGCCTTGCCCTCCTCCTTCCACTCGCCAACTTTGGTGTTGATTTGGTCCCTGATCTCGCTACGGATCTCACCAGTGTCTCCGGAGAACAGAGCCAAGAAGCCCTGTGTTCTTGAGTTGATAACATCAATCTCATGTAGAGTGACGGTGTGAACAACCTCCTTGCGCTTCTGCAGCTCGCCGTCTGGGCACTGCAGGAACTTGGTGTCGACGCCCATGGCATCGTAGTCGCGCGAGCGAGCATATGACCGGCCAAGCTTCGTAATCTTGCCCGAAGACTTGTCGATGGAAATGATGTCACCAGCCATGACGCGCTCCTTGGTCATAGCATCAATCATCTTGGCGCCCATATCGTAGACAGCCTCCATGTCGGTCGTCTTAATCGTCAGCTTTCCCTGCTTGGCGCCGCCTGTGACACTTCGGTCGATCTGGATCTCGACGACCTCGCCCTCCATAATCTCGCTCTCCTCCTTGATGCGAACACCAATCGACTTGCGGAATGCTTGTGTGAGAGCTTCGGTCTTTGACATTTCGAGGGAGAAGATTTCGGATGAGGCGAGGGAAGTGAAGGGGACATCGGGGCCGAGGGACTGAGCCATTCCCATGGCGATGGCGGTCTTGCCGGTGCTAAGGAGACGCAAAGTCAGTTGTACAGTCTTCAAAGGACACATGTGGAGGAGGAGGCTTACCTTGGGGGGCCGGCGATCAACACAGCTCTTCCAGCAATCTTGCTCTCCTTGATCATCTGCAGGATCACGGCAGCAGCTTTCCTGGCCTTCTCCTGTCCAACCAGACCCTGAGATGCCGCTCTGGGCTCCAGTGTTGTGCCATCAACGCCCAAGCCGCGAATGTGGGAGTGAGCCGCAATGAGGTTGAGGCCCTTGAGCTCCTTGCTCTCGGAGACGGTCATGACGGGCTAAGGACGCTGTTAGCTACTAGTGCGTAGGTGTGTGTAGACGGGAAGGAGCGCATACCGCAGCCATCTTGAAATTGGTTCACCGATACGATAACTTCGGAGAGCTTTTCGCAGGGTTTAGGTATCGGCAATTGAGGGATGTGAATGGGAGTAGACGGGCTTGAGGCGATGTTCATGGATGAGGCGCAAAAAGCAGTTCGCCAATGGTCGTTCAAGGCTGAAAGAGCTGGGCCTTGCGCGTTCAGAAATTTGGGAACGCGCTTACCTTAGTTTGCACGGGCTGAGCGTGGCGCGGCTAGCGCTTCGGCGCCACAGGCACAGGCCCGTGTAGGTAAGCCAGGACGTTAGAAAGTCTGCCCAGAATTAAGGCACTGTATCCGTACCACCTCACTTTAAGCTCGACGCCAATGGAGCACTTAAACATGATCAGGTTCAGAGTAAAGTCCACCTAACTTAACTTTATTACCACAATGACCTACTTGTGTTGAACCGCGAATTAATTTCGTACGACGTCTGAAACAAGCTGCTGGGCAGGGCAGCTCCAGCTTCGCCCGTTGTGACCAGTTAGTTCAGGGAAAGAAAGGTGCGATCATTGTTCGTTATCATGAGCCATATGTCCGAGCAGAATATCAACACCCTCTGAATGCAGTAGATTGTTGTCGTGGGCAAGCAAGGCTTGGTTGACGTCGAGACAATGCAGCTGCACAATCCTGTCTTACAGGTGAGTTGCTTGCTTCCAGAAGCAGGCCAATGCTTTCTTTGTTATCTGGGAAACAGGTCTCGATCGTGTAATACGGAAGGTGGGCGGCGATCCTGGCTTGGAATAGTGATATATTGTAAGTTGTACATATTATTTTTCCAGCCATGCGCATTTGGCGACGGTCGCTTTCCTCATTATTTTGTGACCGTTGCCTTCTGATAGTGCTCAAGAGGGCGATGGTACCGAGGGCAGAATAGAATTGCATCGCCGATGCGATGGTGGAAAATAGCAAGGGACGTACGAGATCAAGTCAAGCTTGAGGGGGAGAAATAGCGCTAACACCCACAATAGCAGCAATGTTTGCTTTTTTTTTTTTCGGATGCGCCCTCCCCCACCTCACTCAAGTTGGCCCTTTGTACTCCGTAAGTTGCTGTGAATCCGTGAAGGTTCAGTTTTTGTATGACCCCGGAAAAAGCAAGCATGGGTGCCATCTTACCGTGCCTACCTAGTTTGGAGTCCTGCCGGCAAACGACTTCACCCCACCCGCCACACCTTCGTCCCTTTCATCTGAAGCAATCTTTAGTGTAGGTACCGAGTACTGCGTATTTACATGTCGATATGCGCGGCATTATCACAACCCGCGAAAGCTGACCTAGAAAAGGCGATGTATCGTCTGGGTCAGTCATGGTTTGAACGAAGTATCCGATGAGCAGACGTAATAGATTGTTCTCTTACTTTTGAAAGCAACTCCACGTGGCCCAGACTAGTTGAAATTAGGCTCAGCAGGACTACAGGTTTTCGCACCCACGCTATCGGACATGGCAGCGGCCATAAATCGTTCCTCACTGGCAGATGCACCCTAGGCCGAAACCATGAACGTCTTGACCCTCCAAAAAGGTGCAACCCATTTTACAGCGAGCGTGTGAGCCTGTGACCAGCGAGGCCTTTTCAGCGTCAATTGAGGTAAAATTGTGGGAGATCTACGGGGCTAGGCCTGGAATGAAGTGCTCTGTAAGCTAGGTCACTGCAATTGCATACACTGAGGTGCACAACGTCTGACGTAAGGAACAGTCGCTGGGTGTTTGCTTTTCCCTCTGAGTTGTACCCGACTCCGTACAAGGAACATTACTTCCATCCCAAGTTCCCCCAACCCACCTCGGCTCCCCAAATGTTGCGTTTCCCAGGTTGCCAGACACCCATGGCCAGTATAATTAATCTGGGCCCAACCTAATCCGAGCAAGCGCGATCTGCGTGGGGCGCGATTCCAGCACGCGACGGCACTGACCGCCCAACTTCAGGAGATGCCTGAGAAAAGGGATTTAGATATAAAAGTACAGAGTACTCCGTAGGAGAAAGAGTAAATCACTTGAATAAAAAGAATTTGCCCTCAAAACAGATAGCGGCAACTCTGGTCACTGTCTGTAAACCCTACTTTCCTTTCCTTTGAGCCTCGACCTCGGAGCTTTCCAATCACCAAAAAGACCCCTACGTGAGCCGACGTAATCGACATTGATGCGCTCCTTCCCGCAGTAGGGGTTTCCTCTTAAGCCTCTGGGCATCCACGCATTTCACCCCACCTTGCATCTTGCAAACAAAAGACCTTTCCTTCCTTGCCTGACCTCACCTGCCAGCCACCTGCGTACACGCAAACACGTTTTTGCTACCTACCTATCTACGCGCACCCCCCGCAACGTGCCTTACTTTTCGAGTATGCGGCCTGGACATGATCTCACGTTGAAAGGAGACGACAAACACAGACCGACCTTCGATTGAGAGTCCACAACTTCTCCCTTCAGAAACATGTCGTCGTCATCTTTTAGGCGTTCAGACGACATCGGTCGTTACAGTCGCTACGACTACAGCGATCGCAGAGGCGGCGAAAGAGACCGCCCAAGTGCTCGTGACTCTCGATATAACCGTCGCTCACGATCACCGTCCCGTTCGCGGTCTCGGTCTCGGTCAGGATCACGATCTATGTCACTATCCCGTTCTTCACCATCCCGCTCAACTTCGCCAGACAGGCGGATCAGAGAGAGAAAAAGAGACAGAAGCTGGGATAGAGACCGGGAAAGGGGGGGGGACAGGGAAAGAGACAGGGACAGGATGAAGGATCTTGATCGTGAACAGTCGAGAACACAAACGGACTTGTCCAAGCTGGTGCCGCCAACCGGACCACGACTTGCCATCCCTCCTCCTCGTGGACCGCCGACAAGAACGTTTTCTTCGCCAGTCCACAGCAAGTCGGGTGTATCAGTAGACCCCCGACTCGACCGCGGGTCGGAGCAATGTAAGCATAAAATGCCGTTCTCTTAGGACGCCGATACTAACCGTTGCGTCAGCACCATGGAAACCCTCAGCGCTTTCGACAACACCAGCATCTTCAGCACCACCGACCCCTCGATCCGCAAACGATACGACATCAACGATCAAGATCACCGCATCTTTACGACAACTCACTCAGCGAAGTAATGAACAAGGTGCAATACGGTTGCGGAAAGATGTAGTTGAGGCGCGTGCAAAAGCTCGGGAGAAAGAGCATGCCCAATCGCACCCTAAATATGCCGAATTCCCCTCCTTAAGAGACTACCATCGGAAGCTTGAGAAGAAGGATATCGATGACCTAGGTAGATTGGGGAAGGAGATGAAGGATGCGGACCAACAGTGGCAGACTTCGGCAGAAACTTTTGCTGCTACTCTGCTCCAAGCTTTCACCGAGCTGCAGCAGAAAGACAAAGATCGCCGCCAGATTGCTCCTAGCACTGTGGACGGACTCGAGACACGGCTCAATTTACGCCTCGAGACGCTGGAGAATCAACATAAAGAAGCAGCTGCGAAGCAGCAGGAACAGATGGAAGAACTTCGCACAGCCCTCTCGGTTGAGAGTGCCAAGCGCAAAGCTCTCGGTGTCGAGAATGAGACGCTGAAAAAGAAGTTTCAAGAGTTGCAGGGTCATTATCAGTCTCTGACCTCCAAAGCCGATGATCAAGGCGCATCCATCAAGCGGCTGCAAGAGCCAAAGCCAGCTGTTGTGCCACCTCGAACACCACCAAAACAGAATGGCATAACAGCCGAGGAACTGAAGGAGGTCAAGACGCTTCTGGGCCAGCACGAAGGCGTAATAGCCATGCTAAAGAATCAAGTTTGCGAGCACGACAACAAGCTCGGTGAGATGGATATCGACCTCATTAGCGACAGTTGTGGTGTTATTGCGACAACGCTGCCAAGACTAGAACAAAATGTCAAGAAGGCTGCCGACGACGTGACTACACTCCAGACCAACCACAGGATGCTCGGATTGGATACAGAGGCCATTCGATCCAGTGTCAAGCAATTACGGTCTGACATGGAACGAGATGTTCAACAACAACGTTCCGATCTCGACAAGATCCAGGCAGACACTCAGCAGCTCGAATCCGAGACTGACTACGTCAAGAAAGATGTTGAGAAATTCGAATCTGTCATTGAACAAATCAGGACAGGGGCTCAGCAACTAAGGACCGAAATGACGCAGCTCCAGTCGAGCATAGAGAAACTTGCTTCGGAAATACCACGTCCACCCAATGGCGATAAGTTCTTGGCGGTCAGAACCTTCACAACCATGAACGCCACCGTTTTCAAGACATTCAGTAATTGGATCGAGGACGTAAAGAAGCGAATCAACATCGTAGAGCGCCAAATGCCACCGCTTCGCACGACGGACGCGGTTGCTTGGGCTCAAGTAAAGACGCTCGAGAAAGGATCAGACCAGAAGTCGAGTCGAAGTGCGGAGAACAGCCGGCTGTCGACTCCAACTAATGACTTGAAGGACGACCATTACGAAGGGAAGTTGAAGGACTATGATACACGGATCAAGGTGCTTGAGGCTGTCTCGAGGCAGAGTCCACGTCGTGCGGAACATGATGCTTCAGAGCCAACCAAGACTGCAGATGTACCAGCCAAGAGGCGTGCGTCCGATGAATCGGCTTCAATCAAGCTAACCATTGAAGCATTGAAGGAGCAGTTGTCGATGATCGATCAAAGCATCAAAGCAATATCCGAGTCAGCCAAGTTAACAAGCGAAAGCCAGGCTGTGGACTCTCAACGAATCCAGGCACTAGAAAGCCAGGCATACGAATCCCGGGCGGATCACCGGCGCTTGGACGGTATTGAGAAAAGATTTGCGACTACGGAAGAAAAGGTGCAGGCTTCCGAGGCCAAGATGGACTTTTTGCAACACAACATCATGAATGTGGACGCGCAAATCAACAACTTAACAACGGAGAGCCTCTACCAGGCCATTCTGCACCACATTGACAGATACCACCCTACGGAAGCCGTAGTCGGACCCAAGGTGGATCAGATGGCTAGGCAGGTAATAACATATGAGCAGAGACTGCACATCTTGGAGAGACAGTTGAAGTTGGACGACGAGCCTGCGAATAAGAAGCGCAGACTGAGCTCGGCAGCAATGACAAATGGCAGGCATTGAAGGTGAAGAAAGGGAGTTGACGCATCGGGCATTTGAGTTCAGCATGATACCAGGGAAGACGGCGCAAATGAATCCTGTTATGATACCAAGTTGTGCCCTTTTCATGAAAAGAAGAGAGCACATTCTCATAGGTAGTGGTCAAACACGCCTTAGGCTACCGTACGGTGGTAACTTGCCTGCAGACATAGTTCTAGAGTAGATAGAGACTACGCCAACGGCAGACGCCTATTTTGCAACGACCTGAGTTTTCATGTTATCCGCTGTGTTGATACAATATTTGTCACTGGCGTAAACGCCTCTGCAGAGAAACCCGTTATGTGTGACGACGCTAAGTTGTATGCGTGGGCTCTGAAGTGTGACATGATTCGGGCAAGCCACAATGAAGCACATTGTCTGCGCGGTAAACAAGGTACATTATTACATTATACAAAGGCAGTCTCCGTACCTGCAGGTTTTTCAAAGCAGCGAAACAAACAAGTTGATGAGACAATGCGTGCCCCAAATCGTGACAAGCTGGGGTCGATTCAAAGTTGAGTTACGGGACTTTATCGGCAATTTCTACAGCCTAGGTATCCTCTCTTAACCCCCGTCCTGCCATGAACGATGAAGGCACGGTGGATTAGCGCGGCTCCTCCGAGCTATACAGGCAACTTGGGTAAGTTAGGCTTAGGTTGGATTCGTAAAGTTCCCATGGCCCCCCCATGGTCGCGGCATGGTCAGTGATTCCCGCCGCTGGGCCAGCTAAGCAGCCCGCCAGCAAGCGGCCTGAGACGAGAGGCGGGCCACAGGGGCAGGCAGGCGTCCATTGTCCCTGCCTGCTCTTGGGGTGCTAACGTAAGCATGGAAGGCAACTGGCACGGGTACCTGACCAGATCATTCTAGATCGGGCGCCCTTTATTGGGGTGTTGCTCCTCGGTACCTTATTCCCGCGCAACTGGGTGCGGATATTGGGATCTTAAGGCTCAGGAAGCGAGCATTGAGCAAGCTGTGAGCAAGCAATGAGCACGCACGCGCCGCACCCAATTCTCTGGGTGGGCATCTAGCCAGGGAAGGTGAGATACCTTAAGGTAAGGTTGGGTAAGGCAAGGTAACCAGATTGTCAGAACGTCGCACTTTCAATTCCTGTCCTGGTTGGCGCACTGGACACCACCATCTTCACCACACCTCCAGCTGCCGTCTCGCATCATCTGCGTCCAGCGGTTGCCATCTGGGTGTCTGATTGGTCTGAATTCGCCGCGAGATAGCGCGTGTCTTTGCCTTGCTTGCCCTCCACCCATGAGGCAGTTGCGCTGCGCTGGCCTTGCCAATCCTGCCTGTTTCCTTCCAAGATTGTGTCTTGACCTGAAGTGAATTGCCGTGATTCTGACCTCCATCCCACTTGTGAGTGCCTTCCATGTAAGGTTGTCTGTCGTACAGATGTTCACCATACGGTGAATGTGAGGTCAGGTACCTAAGGTGAAGGCTTCATCCATCTCACCGGGCTGCGCTGAGGTACCTACCTCGAGGTGCCAGCAGAAGTACCAGGTCAGGCTCGGCATCCACCTTCCCGCCTTTGCACCATCCACCTGGGCAGTCCAGTAAGGTGTGCCAGTCCCCGTCCATAGATTCAGTGTAGGCTGAGCACTGAGGTGCCTACCACGATACGAAACTCCACGCCAAAGGTACCTACCACACCTAAGGAAGGCATGTACATACTTACTTTAGGTACCTAGGTAGGTAGTGAGCACTAAGTGGGCAATGTGCTGGACCTCCCATCCACGTCCAAAATCCACACTACTCGTGAGGTCCCGTCCACCGTCTCTCCAAAAGACCCGCGACCTCGACCCTTTCCAATACCACCTCCTACCTTGACCCTTGTTCAACCCAGTATCATCGACCTGCGGCACGTCGTCCCGTCCTCAACCCCGTCTGGATCCGGCGCAAGTTGCAACTGCCAACCTACTGCTTGCTCACCTTACTGTGTAGGTACGCCGCAGGTTGCTCCCTCTTTTGGGGAAGACGCTCTTACACTTCCTCGCACCGACCCGAACCTCACCTCAATTCGCGTCGTCGATTGACGCATCTGCACCTTTGAGCGCCACGTCGCTACGAGTGAGCTCGGCTTGGCTTCGCTTCCTTTCGCTTCGCATCGCATCCCAACCCATCAAATCACCCCCCCAGCAGCACGCCACGTCGGGAAATGCGCTGCGGCTCCTCTGACCTCCCGCTCCAGCTGCTGCAAGGGTTGATGTTCGGACGCTGCAACTGCATTCACCACTGCCACGACTACGACCACGGTCACGACCCCGACTGCCACCACCACCACTGCCGCACCAACTTTCCGAACAGCACAACAGCAATCCCGCTCGACGCCTAGCCCACGTCGCGATCGCCATCGTCGCATCGTACCAACGACGCATCCATCGCTCAGAGCTTCATTGACACCATCTGCTCGCGTGTCTTTCGATTCTTCGCAAAAAATCCACCCCTACACCGACTGCTCCGTCAACCTAGTTAGCCCAGATAAGGGCGGCATCGCACACCCACGTCACGTTATCACGACATATCCTCATCGGCGCCCAAACCAGGCCAATAACACCACCTTGCCTAATTGTCGGCGCCCATTGCCGCCGGCTCGAATCAACACATTCGTGGGCTGCGGAGAGAGCTTTGTGCTCTACTCCGGCGCCCATTCCACCCCCTACGTTACCCCATCGATCTCGCATCGCCTGCCAACCATCACGGGTCTTTGTTGTTTAACCTCAATCCCGACACTCGCTATCCACCCACAAGTCATCTACCCCCATCACACCGCGCCATCCCGCCCTCGTGTCTTGCGTTCCCGACCGCGCATTTTGCGATCCTCGTATCTACATGCCCCCACGGCATGCAAACACCACTAAAACATGGAAGCAGCGGCGAAAAAGGTCCAACTGCTGGCCCAGCGCATCCTGCCTGATCGACCGCATTCTCTTTCCATGAACCCTGACCAGCGCTTTCGAGTTCCCCCCGATCATAGCAAGGCCTTTGAGGAGTTCAAGTATCCCGCCCTGCAGTACATGACGCTGTTATCCGACGCGGATCGCGGAATGCTGCTCACCCGCGCGTACCATGATATGCGCGAAGAACCTGCGATCCCACCAGCCGTCAAAGACTCGAACGCAAAGATGGAAAGGAAGAACGTGACTAAGCTGTCACTGAGTGATTACAAGAACAAACAGAAAAAGGTGTCGGATTCTCCTCCCGATTCTGGATCGACGCCCAGGACCGACGTTTCGCGAAAGGAAAGGAACGTGGTAGAAAGTCGGATTGATCGTGAGCCTAAGAGGCCGGATGCATACAGAAATCGGGAGCCGGATGTATCAAGGGACGTCAAGGCGCATAAGGCGCGCGACGGCGCCCACGATGAAAGGTAAACCCTTGGACCTGTCTATCCCGCTGTGCTCCGCATTCAGAGGCTGACTGACCCAATCTAGAACGAGCAGACCCGATGCAAGATCCCGGGCAGCACAAGAAAGTAATGATACCCCAGACAAGAGGAAGAGAATCGCGGATGTGGACGGCGAATTGCGGCCTCAGAAACGAGCCAAACCCGAAGCGAGCACACCGCTCGACGAGCGATCGCGGACACCTCGAGACGATACGCCGAGAAGAAAAGAGATACACTCATCACAAGACAGGACGCCGCAGAAGGACGGAAAGTTGGGCACAAGTTCAGCTTCATTGCCCAACGGGCGGTCTGCTTTAAAGACAGCCTTTGGCTCTGGCTCAGGCGCGAACAAGTCCCCCATGTCCCGTGCGCGAGGGGACTCTATCAATGGCAACAAACCCAGCCCCTCTTCGAGCGGTCGGGCAAGAGCTGATACGGCGTCTTCGAGGTCAGCAGTTCCGCCGTTACTATCTCCGTTACACCTACCGAACGAATCCGATTCTCGATCGAAAGATAAGAGACGTGACGATCCTCCCGAGCACAACCGGCCGCAGAAATCCTCACGAGCAGAACCACCCCCGCCTATCAAGAGACCGAAATCTCCCTTGAAGCTTCCGACACTCCTTTCGCCGACACTTCCCCCAATGCTCGAGGAGGAACTGGCCCGGATGAAGAGCACACCGACGAAAGGCTCCGACCCAAGCCAAAAATTGCAACCCCCCGATTCACCCACAAACGGCAAGAGACCACATGTGGTAGTGAAGGAGGAAGAAGACGACCGAAAAGAGATCAGGGAGAAGGAGAGGCTAAAGGAGAAACCTCGCAGGTTTATGGTGACGCTGAAGTACAGCAAAAAGTACACCAAGTCGGTGCAGAGGCTACTTGCCCTAGGACCCCCGAGGAAAGACATCAAGAAGGAGCGGTCAGTGAGTATAGAGCCTCCGCCGCCGCAGGCACGGAAGCGACCGATTACCAGCACCGAGAATGTTGGCGATTCGATAGCGGTGAAACGACCTCGGACGTCGGAAATCACGAGCTCCTCCAAACTGAACGCGCCCTCGACACCATCGAAAGGGGGGGCCACGTCGATGTCGAGAGTGGCGTCAAGCAACTCGGTCAACACTCCTGGAGACGGCCACAGCCTGACTCCCGCGCCGCCATCATCGGACCGAGACCGGCCGCAGACCAGAGATGACAGCAGAGAGGCGGCGAATCCTAACAGGGTCCAGGCGCTCCGTGATCGTTGGAGCCGATTTAGCAGACTCGGCACCAAGCTAAAGCATGAGCGCGACGTATTGCTAGAGCGGAAGCATGGCGACCGCGGCGCTCCCGTCCCGGACTCTGACATCAAACTCAGCATGATGCTCGGACTGGAAACGGCGATGGCGTTCATGGTCAGCTTCAGAGCGCTGTTTGAGTCACGGCGGATAGAAAACAAGGCACAGGACCCTAAGCAGTGGAGTAGCATTCTGCCGCTTCTGAATGTTATGCGCAACGATGTACGAAAGAGCAAGCCGTTGGAGGCACTGTTTTGGCAGATGCAAGGCGTGATCCACGAGGAGCTTATCAAGTGCTACTGGTCGCTCGATCCGGCGACGCACGCACTACACATTATTGGTGCAGAAAGAGGTCGATCAAATGTATGGAAGTCGGCATTCGACTCGGCGGAGCGCGTCGAAGCCTCAGCGATGCGTACGAACATGGGTCCGTGGACGAGTGTGGAGGAAGCCGTATCGTCGGCTCTCAAGATTATGCGGCGCTGGGCGCAGGAGGAGGGTGTCTCGTGGCGCGCCGAGGTCACGGTATCAGCCGCTAACGGAACGTTGTCATAGGATGTCGACGAGGGCGAGGCATCGACTCTGGTCGATTCTTCCTTTACCACCCCGGGGAGCTCATCGCCTCCGTGTGACGAGAGCGTCGCGAACGATTTGGTACACCCACAGACGGAAGGATACGGGCATTAGGGCCCTCCTAATGACATGTATTATGAGCCAACTCACTATCGTCCTTCACGGGGTCCGGAGGCTGGTTGTGGCGAGAATGGCGTTTTGGTTGAGAAGTATGGGCGGTAGCCCATGTATGAAAAACACACACAGTCACCCTGAGTCTCTTCAAGCGAGCACGCGCAATTTCCTTTACTTTGTCTGATATCAACCCCCCCGACCAACTCACTCTACGCCTTTTTTTTTTTCTTTTCTCTCTTTCTCAATTCAGCTTGGCGTTCAAGGGGGATAAATCAGGACTCTGTGTGTCTACGGACTCTGTATGCGTGTGTACATATAAAAAAAAAGATATCCCTCGGCCGGCCCCCTTGCGCATCTCGGGCTTGATCTTTGTGGAACGGCATGGAGGGATGGGGAGTACGAAACGGCCTCATCTCAATGCAAAGTGGTAGTGGTAGCCAGTCGAGGATTGCTGATTTTGGAGAGGTCAATGCAAGAGAGGAATCGATACCAATTCAAGCAAAGGCTCTCCGATGCTGTGACATGATAAGGAGATAAAATAAGGTAACTAGGTTGGGAAACACTCTTTGAGACTATCGATCGACCCTGGTCAAAGCGACGACGCGCAAGGAGGGGGGAGGATAAGATATCAGACGTGGACGTGGAGCGACCCCGCACTGGCAACCCCTCACAGCTCAAAGATTGTCACATCTCATACAGAGGAACTAGGTAGCTAGCATAGCTAAACCTCGTCAATGATCTGACACAAACAATCGCTGTCAACTACGCCTGTTCACGACATGGGCTGATTCAAGAATCATCAAAGATTCGAGTAACATGCTGGTCACACTGCATTGGTTTGGACTATGATGGGTAGGCATAATCTATTTCATAGACGTCATTCGGACATGTATTCTGGGAGCGTTTTTTTGTAGGAAAGAAACAACCATGATCCTCCCTGGCCTTTGCGGCCCTCCCTCCTGAAAGACTTGCCCATCTTCATTTTACTGCTTTTGTTTGGTCGTTGGTTTATCATCTCATTAATGGACACTTTCGGTCCTGTTTCCCCTCCGCGACAGCCTCATGTGTACCGCACATTTATTTGGAGGCGTCAACCTTGGCAACGTGGGCCAAGAGGTCGAGGACACGGCGAGAGTATCCCCACTCGTTGTCGTACCAGGAGACGAGCTTGACGAAGTTGTCGTTGAGGGAGATACCGGCCTTGGCATCGAAGATGGAAGAGTTGGGGTTGCCGATCATGTCTGTGGAGACGACGTCGTCCTCAGTGTAGGCCAAGACGCCTAAAGATAGTTAGCACACGTTCAAAAGACACTCATAGGTGATGTTGGTAGCTTACCCTTGAGGGGACCATCAGCAGCCTCCTTGATGGCGGCCTTGATCTCGTCGTAGCTGGCGCCCTTCTCGATGCGGGCAGTCAAGTCAACGACGGAGACGTTGGCGGTGGGCACACGCATGGACATGCCAGTGAGCTTGCCGTTGAGCTCAGGAATGACCTTGCCGACAGCCTTGGCGGCACCAGTGCTGCTGGGAATGATGTTCTGAGCAGCGGTGCGGCCACCACGCCAGTCCTTGGCGGAGGGACCGTCGACGGTCTTCTGGGTGGCAGTGTAGGAGTGGACGGTGGTCATGAGACCCTCAATGATGGTGAACTTGTCGTTGATGACCTTGGCGAGGGGAGCCAAGCAGTTGGTGGTGCAAGAGGCGTTAGAGATAACGTCGGCGCTGCCGTCGTAGGACTTCTCGTTGACACCCATCACGTACATGGGGGCATCAGCAGAGGGAGCAGAGATGATGACCTTCTTGGCACCGCCCTGAAGATGGGCCTTCGCCTTGTCGATGGTGGTGAAGACACCAGTGGACTCGACGACGTAGTCGGCGCCGGTGTCCTTCCAGGGGATGGCAGCGGGGTCACGCTCGGTGTAGAACTTGACCTTCTTGCCGTTGATGACAAGGTCGTTGCCATCCTGCTGGATGTCGCCGTTGAAGATTCCGTGGGTGGAGTCGTACTTGAGCATGTAGGCCTGTGATGATTGTCTGTCAGCAAATTTTGTCTTGGATGTTTCTACATGATCTCGTCACGTCTTGCCATTGCAACGAGCCAAATCGAAACCTTGGGGGGAAAGAGTCGAGAGTGCTAGCAGCTCTGGCTCTTTCCCATGGTTACCGATTAGGGTGGTGTTATCGTGACAGACGTGATATCATCATGGAGGGGTAAAGTGGGGTGATACTCACAGCGTACTTGGTCTCAATGAAAGGGTCGTTGACAGCAACGATCTCGACCTCGGGGTGCTCGACGGCGTTGCGGAAGACGATACGTCCGATACGACCGAAGCCGTTGATGCCGACCTTGATGGGAGCCATATTGTCTGATGTGATTTTGTATTTAGGATGTGTCTGGCGGTTGGGAGAGTCAGTTAAGTTTTCTCAGGTGTTGGTGAAGGACGGGCGTTTCCGAAGTGTGTAAGGTAGGCGGGGTATTTATCGTGGTAGCGGGGTGGGGTGATGAAGAGGTGAGGTATGTAGAGCTTGATGGAGCTATCGAGAGCTAGTTCTTACCTTGGATATGGGTCACGTCGGGTTGTTCGACGAGGTCAAAGATGGATTGATGTGTAGGAGAGAATTTTCAATGGCAGAAGAAGGAGGGAGGGAGGGACGAAAGAGATGGGAGGTGGTGGAAGGGCGCGCGAGATATAGTAAATTCGGTTGAGGGAAGATGGTGGGGTGGTCCTCCTCCTGCTGCTGGTCGATCCAACGCAAGGCCGGCGGCCATGGCAAGAGCAGGCAAGAAGCAGGCAGGAAGTGGGAGTGGTAGGTCCAAGACGGACTTGATGCAAGTTAGGGAGGTACCAGGTACGGCCACTCCGCAGGGGGGGGGCAATGGGGGGTCCAGACACCCCGAGAACGGTGAGGTGACTCGGCGATTGAGGGTGGTGAATGGTGGTGATTGCCCGGTCGACGCCAGGTGGTGAGGTGAATTGGTGAGTGACACACACTTTTTCTGCTCAGGTAGGAGGTAGGAGGTACCTTGTGCTTGACCAGGCCAGAGCTCCCCCCGTAACGCGTGTCTCGTACCTCTCGTACCTCTCTCCATGTCTCTCCATGTCTCTCCAATTATTATCCTTCCTCGTCGTTCTGAGTCCTGACTCCTGAGTACGGATACATACTGAGTCCCTCTCGTTGCCTCTCACCCACTCAGTCAAAGCAGGTGCGTCTTTTTACGGACATGGCGGGGCATCCAGCGGGAAGGCGCTGCTACCGCTTGTGGCGTTAGTATGATACTCTCCAGGTACTTGATGGTTTTCTGGACCAATTGATATCATGGGATTGGAACACACAATCAAGGTGGGATGCGTTGTTGTTTTACCAATCCAATCTACCTACCATTCTTTTAGTTGCTGATGCTGATGCCGGTGCTGCTTGGGACAAGTCCGGCCCATGTTGTGCCATTCCAAGACCCAAGACTCAAGCTCGGATGGGATGGGATGCAAGCGCAGGCTGCATTGTCTGACGGCTCTGTCGTGGCGTTCGATATCCCTCCCCTTCCTTCCCACTACTTTTTTGACACCTCAACTTTGTCTGTGCTCTGACCTCCATCATCTTGTCCGTATCTCGGGCATCTCATGATGGACTACTCATCAATAACTTGTTTCTCTCAATTCCAGCAACACTCTCACCTCATCCATATCCATTTCTTCAGCGGGTCTTGGCTGGTGGTGTCACTTTCCAGCAGACAGACCGGACCGATCAACGACTCAAGTAGAGCAGGCATTATCAAGGGTCAGGAATTGTCAGGTATGGAGGGGCATGGAGGGGCAGCTTTTTCCCTTGGTTTCCAGCGAGAAAAAAAAAAGTCAGCTACGGCACCTTATCCCTGGTCCCTGCTCCTTGCTGGCCTGCCACCCTGCCCCTCGTTACATCACTCTCGCAGCTACCCCCCGGTCCAGCAGCAGCATCAGGTCCGATACCCTCGTCGACTCACCTTTGGCGGCTTGCCTTTGCACGCTTTGCTCGCTCTCACACCTCTCTCTCACACTGCCACTGCCACCTCCATGCAACAACCACCGTGGCACCGTAGTCCACGCCAAATTTCTGGCGCCTTTTTTATGCCATCTTCTCACCGGTCCGGTTTATTTTGGTGGATTTTTGTTATTATTAACATCCTCAACTGGATTCAAGACACGACATGCCACAGGGTTCAAACAGCTCATTCGCGCACACCTCACCATTCATCTCGCGCCAAAGCTCCCACGGCCCCCCCTCCTCCGCCTCCCCTCCACCCTACCTATTCTGAGGAAAGGTACCTTACCGTATGGTCCGCTCGCTCGCTCCCACCGCACTCTCTTACTCAAAAGTCTAGCTCAGCTTACCTCAAGATATCGAACAAAAAAAAAAACCCCCCAGGTCCATAAATCACTCAATGCTCCATCGCTCAACCCGCCAAGCTCGACTGAGCCCAGCTAATGAAACACGTTGCCTGGTGCATGAGGCACTTCCAGCCTCGACTCGACCGATTTTAGCTTAGAGAGATATGATGATCGAGAAGGCCCGTTTACGACTCCGTTCTCGGTCACCCCCAGATGGACCGCACCATATTTGGCTCCGTCGTCCGTGTTGGAGTCTAGCAAAACAGATTGCGTGCAAAGAAAAGGCATCCATCCATGCTCGTCCAAACCCTTCCAACTCAATTGGAGGGCTTGTACAGATACCTCCTCGCCTGCGAATGCCATCCACCGCATTCCACCCATGACTGATGCGAAATGTGCACGCCACCCAATTCTGCCACTTACAGTCTTGGCCGGCCGCTTCCAATGCAAAGTCGGTCCATCAAAACAGGGCTGGTACGTTCCGGTGCTGGGTGGGGCCCGAGATCTGCCTCTCGACTCACCCAACCCAATGAGCTACCAAGGGAGCCCGGCTGGCCCGACACGCCGGAGCATCACGGCTTCGTCGGCCCCAAACGCTCCTGGCTTCGCCTATAACAACTCTCAACTTCCGATGACATCGGGAATGACGATATCCCCTACCGAGGATACCCGCAAACGTCAATGCCGCGGCCTATGTGTTTACCGCTGGCCACAAAGGCCTGCATGGCCGTATTGTATCGCCAGACGCCCGACAGGGCCCAGGTTGGCAGTTGGATCATTTTGTATGGTCCGAACATCGATCGACCTAGCATGATATGACTCTACCGTCACTCACCCACTATTAGCACCGTACGACACGAACCCCCTGGATGAGCTTCTGGCCGTACTACGGTCAGAACCAACATGGACGAGCTATCTCTCGGCCAAATTATTCAGCACATCTCATTTCCGTCGGATAAGGGGTTCCTAAAATCTGACGACCAGATATTGTCAGATCATGGGACTGCTGTGCCTGAGGTCTCGCCTCCACCTTACAGATTGACAGGATGACAGCCGTGTCATCAGCCTTGTGGCTAAGACGATGTCGTTGACGCTCGTCCCATCCACAAGCCCACATCATCACGACTACGCGCTGGTCGTTCCCGTTCCCTCCCTTCCCAAGTCCACCTTTGACTGGGTACACGAGACTTACATGGACCACGGCAGCAAGTGGTGGCTTTCCTACAGGCCCCGTTTGCCGCCAGCCGCCCCGGAATGATGCGTCCCCTTCGTCGAGGTTCGACCCGAAGCTACCCCAGATTTCCGCTCCGGTTCCTCCCGATTACCTGCCCCGATGCCGTACATTAAGCTACACTTTGCCGAGCCGGGGTACAGCACCTTGTGCCTGGGGATCTGGAACCTCGTCTCATCTAGCAGCGATTTTAGCCTCTCCAGAGATTCTTCAAGCAGTCCAGGGGTTCGTATCTATACGCCTAGTGGGGTACCACTTGGCAGCCCGTTTGTACGAGGCGGGCGCGTGTAAGTCGGGCAGTCGGAAATATTTGGCGTAGCTCAGTCAAGATGATTCGCTATAGACGCCCGGCCTTGCATAATCTGTGGGTTCTCCTGTGGCGCCTAACGTGCCCGAGTCTGCTGTCTATGAAAATGTCCCGGATGATGGCATTCGTGAGATATCGTGAACTTGAAGCTCGAGGTTGCCGGCAGAGTGTTCATCCTTGTCCGGCGGGCAACTCCCGGGATGTGGCTATGTTATTGTTCCGTCCGATTAATCTGTACTGGCTCAAGGCATGGACCAAGCTGTCACTTCTATAAGATGGCTTGAGCAACGTAGCGGTATTCTTCGGTTATGCCTCATCAAGATATCCATCCTCGGTGAGCCTTCTTTGTGTCGGTGGCCGGTGACTTACACCGAGATATCAACCCCACCGGCAATTGTGCAGGGTTTGCTGACCTCAACGTGCACTTTGCATAAATATGGTCCAAGCTCCGCACAGTGGACTGGTGCATGATTAATGCCGCTCATTTGACCTATGCCGTTTGTGCAGAAGCCCCTTGATTTCCCATCACGATTGTCATCTGGATTTATGCAGAAAAAGTTCCCCCCACGCGCCCCCACGGATCCTTGGACGGCCGTGGACGACCTTCATTCTCAGATGGCTCGACTGTGATTGCATCGACAGAACCAGAAGCGACGATCTCGCTCGATTGCTTCTCTTCGAATCATTCTCTACATGACTACGTGTCATGGCATATTTTGGGTGCTTTGAACAAACACGTTTGTGAGTGCAAGCATGCTTGTCGTCTAATACCATGGACGCAACCTTGATGGCCCGTTTCTGGTGTTCATGATCCGCCGACTTCATCGTAAGATCCCAGAAGGTGGAAATGCTTCAACTCAGCAGGCTCCCAGACTGGCTCATTGACTTGAACTTTTTGAGTACATAAGTTTGTCTCATCAGAGAAGAGTGCGAGCGTCCCCCCCCCCCCCCCCCCCCCTTCCTCTCCGTCTCGGTACTTCTGGTAATGATTACTCATAGACTTGACTGCGAGAAACTCAGGTATATACGTCTTGGAGAGTCTCCTACGGCTGCAACATCAACCTATCATGAGTCAGCCAAGGATTCAGTCGAACCCATTCGTACTTCGGGGGAATCAGGCAAATTTACAGCAGCAGTTCGTCACGAAGATCTCTCTTCGTGGTAATGCTAAACGTTCAACTCCCTTTATGTTACGCATCCACTCATTCTGAGAGTCTCTCATCAAGCCCATACAGTGTCACGACACATATTTCCAGGCTTACTTACCCACACAAGTTGATTGACAAGATATATACAACTAGCCTGCCTTTGGCCAAGCTAGTGCTGATACTTTCTTGACGGAGTAGAGAATGGTCTGTCTGAATCCGCATGGAGTGCTTTCCAATTTGTCTGACACTCACACGATGTCGTCGCGATATGACAGTGCGTTGGTGTCGTCAAGAAGGATAACAATTTGTTGTGGCACTTATTATTATCACTAGTATTCTGGTCAACTCTCGACTATGCTTTCCAGAGCCTATTCCCCGACAAACATGTTAGAAGTGATCGTAGTAGCAGTAGTAGTGATTTATTAGGGATAACAGAAATCAGATCGATAGGCATAGAGGCGAGGCATTTTGCGGCAAACTACTGTCTCGCGCATTTGATGATCACTGACGAGTCGACGGACAAGTGACAGCCAGTAAAACAGATCGCTATGGCAAAGCTTCATTTGGATCCGTCTTCGTTTTTCTCGTCTTCTGGTTAGAGCCCTGTTACTGAGTTGGAGAACTGGACGGAACCATGCATTCTGGTGAGAGCACTTCGTCTTGGGTTTTCACGGCGGTCGAGCTGATAAAACCCGACTCTTTCCAGACTTGTATGCTATGGCGCTCATCAACCCCAATTATCTAGAATGATACCATCTACGATACTCTTGTGGTTGATGATCGTGCCAGATTCTACTCGACTCGCCTGGTGTCATCGTCCAACCGAGGTAGCCACAAAAGAGAGAGGGCTGGCAGATTTTGGCCTTTGTGCCAAGCGGGCGTCGACTGGGCTATATGAGCAAGGCATCATCAAACACGAGGGTGGATTGGTTTGAAAACGACCACCATGTCAAATTAACTGATAATCAAGCTGGTTATCTTCGTCAACTTTGTACTGAGGATAGGACCAGGTTGCACCGCTCTGTCATGCGCTCTATCACACTCAATCTCAAATTAGAGCGTGCCCGAGTCGCTGCCTCTATCCTTCTCTCTAGTTCGTCTTGCGGCAATATCATCAATTGTATGTCGGCTCGACGCCGTTGATGTCCGCAAAGGGATCCCAATCAGCAGCATGGGGAACAAACTCCATAATCCTAGCAACCTTGGTCGCCAACTCCTCGCCGTACACCTGCTTGATGAACTCCAAAGTCAAATCTAAACCAGAGGTAACCTACACCATAATGTCAGCCAGTCTTCTCTTACTCCCATTCCAACTTGATTTGCATCAGGATCAGACAGTAAACTTCAAAAGCACTCACACCAGAAGAAGTCCACACATTCCCATCAACAACATACCTCGCCGGCGAAACCCACTTCGCACCAGGCGCCTGCGCAGTAATCAACTCCCACGCAGCCTTATTCGTCGTAGCCCTCTTCCCATCCAACACTCCCGCCCTAGCAGCAAGACTAGCCCCCGTGCAAATCGTAACAATATACTTGACCCTAGGCGCATACTTCTTCACATACTCCACAATCGGCTCCAACCCAGGCGCTCTAACACCGGGTCCGCCAGGCACGATGAGCACGTCGAGATCCAGCTCGTCGTCAAAGGTGTTTGTGGGCTGGATCGTCGGCCACCAGGACGAGTTGTAGGCGTTCATACCGGGAGACTGCGGTGCGGTTGTGACGGGGTCGAGGGTGGCGGCGATGAGGTGGAGGGACATGTGGCGGTTGAAGGATGCTAGTTGGAGGGCGTCGAGGGGGCCGAAGAGGTCTAACATGTCCATTGCGCGGAAGAGGATTGCGCCAAAGGTTACGGGGAGGATTGTTGTGTTTGCGGTTGGGGTGTTGCGGGTATTGTGGGTGTTGTGAAGGGTGCTCTGGAAGGAAGTTCCTACGACGAGGGCGGCAGCTGAGGCCACGATGGCGAGGAGGGAGAGGCGCATTGTGAGAGCGGTGGTTTGAGTTGCGCGGCTCAGCTCTGTTGTTGAGGTTGGAGGAATGTGATGAGTGAAGGATAAAGTCGAGACTTGAGAGTTCTCTATGAAGAAACACAAAAGGGGAGAAAGGTGGAAGAGTGAAAGAGTGAATGGAAAGTACGAGAATGTTACCCCAGCAAGAAGCGGAACTCGTTGATTGATAAAGCAAGGAGCAGTATTCCAGAGCAGGTGCTGTATATACATATATATCCCACCTTGATCCATGGTCTTGATCACGAATATCCCGAGGGCGACACGAAATGCAACCAAATGACCCAAGCAACCAACGCCCAACTACCATAATGCCGAACCACGAGATGGCCTGGGGTTGGCTGGGAAGCATTCCGATCCCGAAGGAACGGCACGGGCGTGGCGTGATCCACGCAAGGGGGATCTGGCAATATAGACGCAACGTTCACTTGGAGCTGGACCGGGAACGATACACACGGTTTGCTCAGTAGTCCGTACGAAAGAAGAAGATGGCTTTGTGCGGTTTGATAATTTGTTAGTTCAAGTGGAGACTTGACTGTCTTGGAAGGAAGGCTGAGCATATTAGAGCAAGTTTTGAATCATCTCTGGTTGGTTCTCTTGCCCCTTGTTTGCTTTTTCTCTTTCTTTAATATCAAAGTCTGATCCTGGTTGGATGCCGTTGGTAGTTATTGACTGTCTGACTCCTTGGAAAAAGAAGCCAAGCCTTGAGGGTAACCCCGTAAGCAGGGTAAATGGTTGACACCACTGCAGAAAAGGGTGGTGTTGTTGAAAGGGGGTATCATTTGCGGCGGAGGAGCCTCCGAGTTTACTCTATGGTGTTGTCTGCCAAGCTTTCCTGATTAATATCGGTTGGCGATGCTCATTGGTTCTTTGTTGATGAATCTGTTGCGGTGAGAAACTCCATACCACAAAGAATCGGGATATGGTTACTTTCAGAAGTCCTTCGACCGAAGGGACTGCCGGCGTCTCGCCGCAAGTCGTCGGCCCGGCCTCATTCTGCGGATAGTGGCATCCTGGTAAAAATGGGTACGGGTGGAATATGATCCTAAAGGACGAGAGTTTGATACCTCTGTAGCTGTATGAGAAAACAATGTCGACGAATTGTCAAGGGGCAAGGAAGGGCCAAGCCGAAGGATCGGACTGAAGTAAATGACGGGTGGGGCGACGAAACCCCGGGGACACCGGGGTTGACTGCCGGATTGCCCCGCTCCAGGCAGGTATCCCCGAAAGTCAACTCCGGGCCGAAAGACGGACGCTTCGCCGGCATGGGTTTGGTGGCCCGGTTTTCTACGAATTCACCGAGCAATCACAGTCTAATGAATCGGCTCGGCCATTTGCCATATTGGCTCTTTTCCTAAAAACAAGAAATAATGAACGTCACGGCCGGCATTTGTTTCAATACCTTCATAGCCGGCGTCACCGGGTAATAGCACTAAAGCGTCACGATTACATTTCTCTTTATCCGAGAAAGGTACACCTATGCTTGATCCGCCTTGGTAATTTCACATCGATGGAGAGTATCAGCCGATACTGAGAAGCAGAAAGCATACCACGATATCTTTCCGCGTTTCTTGTTCTACTACATCAGACTAGCTAACACTCTAGCACCAGACCCCAATCGCTCTACCTGGCCTCATTATTGTAACAAGAAGGATCCAGATATGAAAGTGTACCCATATTCTAACCCATCTTCAGTGTCTCTATTCAAACCACTCGTTTTTGTTTTGCCGTGTTGGAACCCCCTATCCGACGCTGATTTGCGTGTACTGGCCAATGAAACACAAAACTCTCTTTCTAATTGCGCAATACCATCCCCAAAACACCGCCTAGCACGCCACGTACACGGGTCTGGTTCTCGTGAATACAAGTAAAAACAACAGCCGTGCTGGCGGCGAAGACGAGCGTTTCCCTCCACTGCTTGTCCATGCCGTATCGCCGAGGCAGCAGCGTCGCCATGGCCCGCGGGGCGACGAAAAGCGCCATGTCTTTGCGACGACTGGCGGACTCGACGAGAACGCTCCAGCCACAGAGGCAGCATCCCGTGCGGACACAGATTCCCGCGTCCATCTTTTGCCTCGCGGCCAGGTCCTTGCCGATGATATGAGGCCCGATTCTGGTACGGGCGAGACAGACGCCATAATAGAACAAAGTGATATATGCGCCCAAGAACGTCGCCGACCTCGATGATGATAGCAAAGTCCGTACAAGGGTCTTCCTGTTGATGGGCCCCCGCAGGAGAAGCGCCACGCTCAGGGGCAAGTACATGGCCATGGACCACTTCCACGACCGATAGAAGCGGCTGATGGCGTGAAGTTCACACGAGGGACCGCAGCCCATGTGCACCATCTCGCACGGAATGGGTATGGACTTTGATGGGTCACCCCATTCGGTCGGCCATCCGTATTTCTCACACATGCCTTGCAGCAATTCTCCTTGTCCACTTTTGCCGTACGACATTTCATTGGCACGGAGCTTCTGGAGGGCCTCGATCAGCCGCATGTCGACGTTTGCCGCCGAGCTGATCCATTTGTTGTAGCCGCTGGGGAGCCTTTCGGGATGGTAGAACCATGCCCACATGATGAAAGCACACGAAGTGACGAACAAGCAAGGGTCAGTGAACCTGCCGACAATCCACTCAGCCTGTACGAAGTTAGTGACGTTAATGTGTGATGAGAGGATGAGTGCTTGGTGCATACCTTGGTCCAACTACCTTTAGCTACACGGCGCGCTCGCCTTCGCGCCCAAACTTCCCCAACAAGAACATCCAGGGCTCTTGTTAATGTGAATAACGTCAAGTCGAGAGTTCGTCCTCCATATCGAGTCTCCTTGAGCTTAGCTCCAGGAGGGCTATCAGATTTCTCAGGAGCAGTGCCTGTAAAGGCCGAGCTCTTCTTGGACTGCAACAGCTGCAAACTGAACCAAGCAGCGATAAACGTGGCGCCCCATCTTGCGAGTCTAGATGCTATTAGTACTAGATGGCTGCGATCAACAGGAGAATGAAGGATTGAATCCCTCTTACCTAGTTCGTATCACCTCTGTAAGACCTTTGGCATTGCGTTCAAATAAACGTCGAAGTGGCTCCTATCGGAACGTGTTAGGTTTGCTGAGTAAAGTTGTTGTACTTGCTTTGACTGAAACTCTAGGTCGCCTTGATGAACCTGCAAACATTGCTTATATGGAACCAATGCAGGGAACAATAGCTTATGTACAGCTAGGAGAGAACCCAGTGCAACTCTGAGATCTCCATCACCATGTGTACTAAATACCTAGTTCTCAATGCTTGAACCCAAGTGAAGCAAGTGCAGCTCAAGTCCCAGGCATTACAGGTGTTGTATTCATCCCACTGAAAGAAATGTACATACCTCTAAAAGTGTACTGCCGCCAACGAGCAAGGCACAGAAGGTTGGAAACCGTTGCGGGTCTAGACCGGCGAGGACGATCCGCCGCAGTTGCGCCACAAACCCGATGCACCCGTTCTCCTTTGCGATTTGACGGCGCTTTTTCGTAAGGTATTGCATCAGCAACGTAAGGACTCTCGGAGCAACAGCGGAAGCATAGCCCAGGAGGTAGGTCCGAAGGAGGGGCCGTAGGATTGGCGGAATTCCATGTAGCTCGACCAGGCCATTCCGGCGAATTTGCAGCTGACTCCGAGGTAGCATTGCGGAGAGCGTAGGTGTGACGGCAGCCACGAGGCTTCGGCGTCAGTGCCGGTAGTTGAATTGGAAACGGTTCCTGAGCAGAAAATCAGCGATCCGCATGAGAGCCGGAAGCGATGTGTCTGTGCACATTCGGATATGCTATGATGTAACCGTACAATGGGAGGTTTGAATGGGTAGGCTGCTCGTCAAACTGAGTTCAACAGAGGGGATTTGGGAAACGAAGGATGTGGCTGGAGGAGACATGGGTTGTTGCTCTAAGCAGACAAGGTGAAGGACCGGCAAAAGTGTGATGATCGGGAGGGCGTAACGACAGCTGAACCGTGGTAAGGCATGAGTTACGTTAGGTAATAGGGGAGTGAAGCGGCAAGCGGACTGGCCATCCGTACCGCCTAGAGAGTATGAATCATGTCGAGAACTGAAAGGCCAACCAGACGATGACAGGTATTTGGTTATGAGGAACAAGGTTCGGGATTGACCGGTCCATCTTCACTAGAAGCTGGCCATATACCTCGGATGCCAATTAAACATGCTGCAGGAAAACAGTCTAGGCATGTAGACCTCTTCAGAACAACAGGAAAACGCGTAACGAAGATCGCGAACTAGTGGGCGCGTCTTACCAGGGGGTATTGATTAATCTGCTCTTCTGAAGGCTCGTGATGGCGGTCCCTCCAGAGTCTACAGCCAACCCGCAGCGCCTAGGGCAGGGCTGGAGCTGTGCTCAATGGCGAAAGTATCGCGTACCTTGCGTGTTAAGAGACGAAGGGGACGGGAATGAAATAAGAAATTGTGGGGTAATGGTGCGACCCACGACGTGATGGAGGGCCTGGGGTAGGATGAGCGACGTAGGTTGTGCAGTAGGTGCAGATGGAGACCAGGGGCAAGTCAATGGTGAGGCCGAAGAAAATGTGACAATTGGGTTCCTCGGCACGGTCGAAGAGTACGGAGAAAGGTACGGAGAAAGGTACGGAGTACGCATAGGAGGTCGGATCTGGCAAACGTGACCGAAGCGCAGATTACCGCCACAGCTGGCAAGATTGGCGAATATGATTGGTTGCAGAAAGAAGTGTTTCGATCAGCTGGTCTGTCACGCTGAGTTGAGGACTGAGAGGTTCACGTTGGCGGCCAGGAAGAAACGGGAGTGAACATGTTCAGCCAAGCCAGATGGGGCTTAGGCGCGGCAACCCATGCGAGTGCGACGGTGCTGAAGAAGAAGAGACTTCTATCAAAGTCTGGAGTCTGTCTGGAGGAAAACCTGAAGGGAACGGCGTTTTGCGTTGGCTCGGCAGTGGTAAACGGCGTTGGACAGGGAGTACCTTGCCAGCCTTGCTCGAGAGTCGAGATTCAAGTACTTGCGAGTTGCGGGACGCTTCGGGCGTAGAGGATTCGATCAGTGCCATCGACCGGCCGTCGAGAATTCTCGGCGCTTGCTCCTAGTTCTCGAACGATGAAGGAATAGACACAGGAGGTTGATGATTGACTGGTTGGCTGATGGGAAACCACAGACGGACAGGCTGGGACAGGCTGGGACAGCCAGCCGTTTCGTATCAACCGAGGCTGTGTTTGTTTCCTTTGTCTCGCCGTGTCAAGAACCGTTCAGGGTCTGTGAGGTGCCTTAGTAGGATCTGTGGGCGCTAGTAGGGACTTGTGGACAGCCGTCAAAAATTCCAAAGGATTTGATGTATCCGTATGGGTAGAACAGTGCTGCAACTGTCGATGTGACAGGGTTAATCGAGATACCGAGAGACACAAAACGGGATGAGGACGTGTTACAGATGCAGTTCCAGGCGACAGATGGAAGCAACGAGTTTGGCCGAACGATGAGGCCAGACCTGAGAGTCAACGGGAATAAGACAGGGTATATCGAAGCAAAGAAGAGCAGAGCAGAGCAAAGGCAGAGGAACTCTCAGAGCATGTCGAATGGGTGCGGTGCAAACGTGGAACCTCAAAGCTACCCCAAAGTGAGATGAGGTGAGGTGTGAGAAAGTGCTGGGAAAAGCTTAGGAAGGTTGATGATGCGGAGCACGGGTGCACGGATACAGGTACAATGTACATCTAGTAGAGGCCAAGCCTAGAACGGAATAGTGTAAGGTAATTCCTGGGGCAGGGAGAATATGAAGATGACTGACAGCGCTGGACAGCGGGAGGGGGAAAAGAGATTGGGGATGGGAGAGAATTGAGAGGAGAAGGTGCAGAGGGGGGGGAGGCTCCGAGTTGGCATGTGACGACCCGCTAGGAACATAAGCCCGTTAGCATCAAAGCTGACACCGACCCACTCAGCTTAAGCAGTCAGGTACCTATCAAGCTAACGAGAAGGTTGAGAAGGGCTTAGCGAACCAATCAAAACTTGGTTAATCCCCTTGGTCCACCTGCTGACCGCCATTCGTGTGGCCCGGACCCGCTAAAAAGAAGGAACCTCAGCCTCCAAGGTAGAGAGAGCTAGATAAGGCATAAGCACCAACGCACCGTTTCAACGATATGGCTCGGCTTGTCTCATGTCCGCATGGCTCCGATCGCAAGATCCGGCGCTTTCTCCAACCAACCTTCCGTCCTTGCTTAGATGTTGGGGCAGGGCAGGTATGGCAGGATAGGACCATCCTCATCCGTAAGAAACTGGGCAAAGGTAGCAATGGGAAAATTAGGCCGGCTCGAGACATTGCCTTGCCTTGCCCTGCCCTGCCCTGTCCTGTCTGTTTGCTGGCTGGCCGGCCGGCCTAACTTGTCGACTGTCCGTTGACTGCTGCCACTAAGGTAAGTGCGGAGGCTTGCAGCGCGCGATGCAGGTGACCGTGCCGGCAACCCACCCACACACCCCACCCCTCCCTGCAACTTGCAACCTTTGCCCTCCCTGATCCGTCTTCCTAAGTTCCTCCACCTCAGTCCTCACTATTCGTACTCAGAGAGTCAGACTCTCTGTCTCTTCTAGCTCTCAACCACCCTGGTCAACAACAGGGGTCGCACTTTGGCTGTTTGGTGCCCCAGACCTTTCATTCTTTTCGAGTCCTTGATTTCCTGCTCGTCACTCACTTTCCCCGGCTCAAAAAAATCACGGGGTCCTTGAGCCCTCGTTCTCGGTGCACCGTACTTCGTACAGTACAGAGAGTACCGTGTCCGTCACCCTCACGTCCGCGTCCTACGCCTACGACCACGTCCGCTTCCTCTTTCACCTGTCTTACTTGCCTTAGCTTGCGTCTGGCCACCTCCTTGAGCTGATTGGGGGTTCGTTTCACCTCACCTGTGGCTATTCCTCGCTATCCGTTTGGGCGTTCTCTCAGATATGCAAGTACACGGGTGAGCCAACCTCAACATCAAGCCAAAGCACCAGCTTCGTCCACGTTGGTCAAGAGTCAATCTACCTATACAAGCAGTCCAATGCTTCGAATGGGCCTCGCGCTCGCATCCCATCTTGGACAAACACACGTACCCTCGCCGTCTCTTGGCTCGATACCGTCCGTCTAGAGCCTACCCAGACTCTGCTTCTGCCGTTCGACAAGTCTCAAGGGTCTCTTTCTTCTTCTTAGCCCTGCATGGGCCGCATTAACGTCCGCCATACGGGGTAGACCTTGGATGCTCTTCAACTAGGAGCTCTCCATCTCACCATCGAGAACGTAGCACTGCTTGAGGTGGTGCTCCAGTACACCACTCCGCCGCCATCCCGCACGCTGCCCCCAGCTCCGCTTGCCCTTCCGCCTTCACTTCACCTCACCTTGCCTCGCCTTACCTTACACGGGCACCCGTCCCGCCTTTTGCCTCACGCTCATCTTCACCATCCATCCATCCTTCCCCCCTCCTCACTCACACCCCCCGCTCTTCGGACGAGAAACGACGACGAAGAGAACCTCCTTCTAGCACTAGGGATCCAGAAGCCCGGTGCGGTGCCTAAGCGCAGCCACCACCCCACCTTCGCCTCGACGTAACCTGCCAGCGTCTACTTCGGTCTCTTCCTGCTCTGCCACGGCGCGCACCTAAAGACGGCAAATACACCCACCAACCTCTCCAGACTCCTATCAAACGACACCATAGCGGTCACTGCTGCCACAACAACGATTCCGCCACTCCGCCAAATCACAAGGCAATCGAGCGACTGGCCGATAACTTATTCGAGACCACTCTACCGTACGCCCTCTCCCAGCCAGACGAGCCTCTGAGTACAGACGCGCTGCCTTGCGCTCCTGATAGACACGTTCCGCCCCTTCGTCCATGATTCATAGGATATCGATTTGCCCATAGGAATGCGCATGCCCTCCTTCGAGTCGACTACATTCACTCTTTCCCACGCTTCGAAACCTCAACGACCAACGTCTCTCGCTCTCCGAACCAGAACCAGAACCAGCGCATTCGACGGTCACCGTCCATTTGCCACAAGACGCACCCATGCTCGCCATACAACGTCCCAGGATGGGTTCGACGCAGCCGTCAGACCCCAATTTGCCCTTCGGCTGTGAGTAACCGTCTCGTCCATTTCCCACCAAAGTCAAATACTCACAACCTTTCCTCAGATGCCGTTGATCCTTCGCAAGACTTCTACCTCGACCCTCCCGAACCTGCGCCTGGCGCACCTCTCCTCTCTGACAATGAAACCAAACTACTCAGTTCCTTCTTCGAGGACATGACTGCCGACCACTATAATCTGCCTTCGTTCGGCGAAGGCCTCAACTTCAGCGATGCTTGGTTGGAACTACCTCCCCAGTTCATGGGGACGGCGACTTCCTTTGGGCAGTCACCAGCACCACCACCTCTTGCCTCCCCTGGGCATAGTATGCCCCATAACGACTTTGCGGACATGATGTCCATGGGCTCGAGCCTGATGCCTCCACCTCCCCCACCGCCACAACAACAACAACAGCCGCAGCCGCCACCGCAGCATCATCACCAGCAATCCCACCCGACCCTCGACCAGCACGCCTCAGCCGACGTTCTCCAGGCCGCTAGCACACTACTACACAACGGTTCCTCGTCAAGGACAAACACAAACGGATCTGGGCCCATGTTCAGCAGCACCAGGGATGTACCGCACTCCCTCGGGCCGCCCGTCGGCCATCTTAGGCACCAACCGATGGAGGATTTCAAGCGTGCCGAACGAGGCAGCGTGGCTCAGGCCAGCCTCGTTGACGATCATGAGAGTACATTCGCGGACATGTTTTTTGGACCCGCTCCCGGTGAGAGAGTATCCTCACAACGCGCTAACCAGGTTCCCAATATCGATGTGCAGTGGGGCTCGGATGCTCGGTTCAACCGCTCCAACACCTTTGTTCCAGACCCTAAAGAAACCTACGATGCTCTGTCTAGAGGCCAGCTGAGATACATGGAATGCCTGGAGCCAAGCCAAAGCACAGATAACACTCGCCCACCAAGCCCGAACGGCGAGCACACAATAGGGAAGGGACACAGCCGAAAGTCTTCCGAAGTGTTGAAAAAGGAAGAGGATGCCGATGCACCGCCAAGAAAAAGAAGGAAGAGCAGGAGCACGAAGGAGGAAGTTGACGACGAGGATGAAGAAAATGGCACTGCAACGAAGGCGGCAAGAAAACGCAAGACGAAGGCCGAACCAACCTCAGCCACTCCGCCAGCAGAAAACGGCACAGCCAGCCGGAGGCGCAAATCTGGGACTGGTGCCAAGCCAGCACGAGAGAACCTGACGGATGCTCAAAAACGAGAGAACCATATCAAGAGCGAGCAAAAGCGCCGAACCTTGATTAAGGAAGGCTTCGACGATCTCTGCGAGCTTGTGCCAGGACTCAAGGGAGGCGGCTTCAGTAAGAGCACGATGTTGACCATGGCGGCTGAGTGGCTCGAAGAGATAATGAAGGGCAACGACGAGCTCAGGGCCCAGTAAAGCGCCCTCGCGTGACGGTGTTATTACGGCTCAACACCAACAACACAACCATCAGTGGGCCCGCCTCACCATTGGAATGCTACACTGCTCCTCCGGCCGAAATCCGGAACACGGAACCGAAGGATGCCAGGGCTCGTCTTCTTGAGCACGAGATGGCTTGCTATATTATGATGTAGGAGAGTAGATACCTGCAGCAGGTGGGAATCGATGTCATGAGGCGGATTCCCAAGATTCCCACAGGAAGCAAGGCAGGTTATGCTAGGCACGATTATGAACGTGATTTACGGGAGTGTCCCGGCCCTGATGCGGGCCGCGCACGGGAGGCGACGATGATTTACTTGCGGAACCAGATTTACCCAGATTTATTATATTTGATCAGGGAAGGCTCTTGTAGTTGATACCCTTCACACTGTTGTTTCCCCCAAATTCTATTTGTTAAATCAAAATATATTCCACATACAATAGACTTCGTCTTACATGCAAATATGTCGATTACCAGTTCAAAGATTCTCCCCTCATCCCCCTCCTATTTCTGTTGGGCTGATCTGCCATCTCAACTTTTTGCTCCCTAGCGACTGACACACCACAAGAATCTGCAAGGGTTGGAAAGCGCTCAGTCCAGGCATTGGGTGCTCCTCGGAGTTGGCAGCCATGGATTTTTTTGACATGTGAAAGCTCAGTTCGCGTGGTGCGGATGCACCCCGCAGGTTCCTCTTTTTTATCGACGTCGATCACCGTATGCGTATTCGCGCATCTGCCAGCACTACCCAGATGACAGCGCTTGGCGAGGACACATTGTTTCACTCCGCTCCGTGCCTGCATCACTCTTGCGATATTATCTCGGAGATTAAGGCCACATGCTTGGTACTAGTGGACTTTCACTGTTCACCTGTCCAGTTCACGGTTCTATCGGTATGTTCGCCCTTGTCACACCTCACCGACCCAGTGAACTTGATGTGGTTCTGTGGATGTCTCGGATGGGGGGGGAATGCGATGGTGGGGTAAGCTGGCCGGCTGGCTGGCAGGTCACCCCTCCAAAGAACGCCCGCTTGTCCGGGCGCGCGAATCTGATCGGAAAGAATCGCGGGGTGACGGGTAATCAGGATCAAGGAAAAGGAGGGAAGGGAGATCTGAGCGGCCGGCGGTGACGGAGTCGGGAGGACGTGTTTCTAATGGGCAGAGATAAGAGGCTCCAAGTTCGAGGTTGGAGGCACCGTTGGAACCCGGGGGACCGAGCGATGGTGTTGGGGGGTTGAATGGGTGAATTCGAGTAAACAGAATTCCATTTTGGCTAGGACTGGATTGAAGTGGTCTGTTGAACAAACGGAGTGGCTCTTCCTCTCCAGTCTCCATGGTCTCCTAACTGCAGTGTGGCGTGTATCGACGGCTGGCGGGCTGGCTGGGCTTGTACTACCTAACTAGCAACGAACCGCAAGCTCGATGGCGTTTTTTGGCCGAGCTACTGCCTAGTGCCCGTCGGTGAAAGGTTAGGGGGATTGTCGTTGGTGTCTGTTCTCACTTGATAAGACTATTGGACTACCTATTTTAGCTTGGGAAAAACGTGCGGGATGATGCGTGGAAAGTCGTGGGCACGGAGGCTTAATCGGCGAAGTCGGGGATATCTAGGGAGGAGACGGAGGCGGAGACGGGGGGACGGAAGTGGAGCAGCCGATGGAAGAAAAAGGCGGGAGAAGTACCCAAGCGATACGGAGGTATACGATATAGAGCATTCGGGTACGCGTTCCCCCTAACGTGAAATCTTGGGAAATAAACATGGGCTTTCTATCACACCATGCTATAGTTCCGTATCTCCTTTGTCCAGAACCGCAGTTTTCTTGGTTGCTGGGTTGTCCAGAAAAGGTAACCCGTGGTTTGAGGCGCTTCGTTGGTTGGTTGAAGCCGATTTGGGGGCTGGTTTTTGCTTGGTGAAGTGTGGCTTTGACGGGTCGAGCTTCGTTTATCGACGCCGCGTTCTTTTTTTTTTTTTTTTTTTTTTTAACATTTGAGATTTTTTTTTAGGAAATATGCTAGCTTGTTTCATTTCGTATCGGTCGAGAATCGGGCTTGCTCATTAATAGATTTTTTTGGGTTCGAAACATGGTTGCTCTTGCTATGCGCTGGCTAAGGCAAGCGTGATGCGAGGTGCGGGATGTTGCAAAGACTTCGAAACACCAACACCAATGTTTGCCATCAGCAATCAACATCGCAAGATCAAACCGCCAAAACAAAGAAACCAGAAGAAACATTCTTTTGCCTGCGTCTGTGTTCTTGAGGCAGTGTGCTATCGCTATTAAGAAAAATGTGGTGTGTCCAGTTCCGTAAGCAGAGCCGCATCTCCCCTCTACTATAGAGTGTGTTAGTATCTTGACATCTCGAGACCTTTATATATAACCATACCTATTAGAAAGCTCGGGGTCCCGTCTACTTTCCTATAAATAGGATAATAAAGGCCGGCTTATTTAAAAGAGTAAGATCTTAGGTAATTTAGCTTATAAAACAATACCCGGCTATACTTTAACTATAATACCGCTATATTATTTACTATCTATTAATATATTAATCCGCTTATTTACTTTAATAAAATTAGCCTTCTTTTATATTTTTACTATTTTCTCTTTAACTCTTTAAATAATATACTTTATTAATTAGCCATATATATTAATTAACCGCATACTTTTTTTTTAAAACGTATTTTACTTTTAATATTACGACCTAGTATATATAACTAAAACTAGGGCCTACCTATTACGGCTAGCTAATTATAGTAAATATATTAATAAAAGTTAAGGTTACAAGGGCTAAATAAATAATATAATAATCGTAAATAGCTTCCTTAAAGCTATATCTATAAATCGTAAAATAAATAAAGCTTTAATAATTAATTATAGTTTTATTAAAAAGTATTCTTAATAAAGATAACTAAAAGCGATTATAAGATCTAATATTAAATTAATTATTAAAGAAGCTATAAGAAGTCTATCTTAGAGCCCGGCTTGAATCTATATTATATATAAGTCTCGTTCCTAAATATATCTTTTATCCGTATATCTACCTAACGGGCTCTATATTCTAAACATATAGGCTCTATATTATAAAAGGATAGGGTCTATATTCTTAATATATAGATCTTTTTATTTCTTATTATTATGTAACTTAATTTATAATTCTTCTATTCTATTAGGGTAATATATATATTCCGCTTACTTATATATATATAATCGTACCGTAGCCGCTATAAGCCTATAGGGTAGGCCCTAGTCTTAGTTATGCATATTAGGTCGTAATATTAGGTCTCCTTTTTAAAGGTCTAGTCTTATAGACCTATAAGTAGGTGTTTATAGCCTAAGTTAGGGTCTATTAAGTTTACTTATTACAATATACTAATACGATATCAGGTCGTATTAAAAAACGTTCTTTAAAAAATACTATTTTAAAACTTTATTTAGCTTATAACGATATATTTAATTATTTTAATTTTAACGACGTTATACCTTATACCCAATATTTTTATACTAAACGCCCGTACTAAATAGCTAATAGCATAAAGACATACTAAGGTTATAAAAACCTAAAACGGCCTTACGATAATTTTATTATTACGTTAAGTCGTAAATATATTATTTTTACCTATCATAACCCTTTTTTATTAATATTTTTTTTTAATACGACAGCTAAATAATTAACATTAAAAAAAAAAAAAAAAAGGAGGAAGCTAATAATACTTTACTCAATCTTTATAAAAAACTAGCTTAAATATAATCTAAAATCTCTAAAATAGCGGGTTATCTTACTTATATTTAAGCAATTTATAAAAAAATAAAAGAAAAGTATATAAAGACCTTTTCTTATAATATATAGAAATTAAAAAAGGAAAATAACGTTCTTCTTACGTTAAATACTTACAAACGGTAGGTTATAAATAACCTTTAAATTACTAACATTCTTAACAATACTAATTAATCTTTTTTTAAAATTAGCAACAAGTTTACATTTCTAAAACCGTTAGTGCCGTTTTTTAATAATCCTTAAGAAATTATTAAGAATTCTAAAGGTTTATAATAGGCTCTTATATATTTTTTTTATATCTATAGTGTTTCTATTTAATTAGGAACTCTAGTATTCCGTTCTTAATCTTATTATTAATAATTTATTTAACTTTGTATTCTAGTTCGTTAGGTTCTATAATAATATGGTCTTCTATATATAAACCCTTAGGTACTAATTTAAAAAGTAGTTATCGTTATAATAACCTATCTATAATAGTTATATATAAAGAACTTTTTAATAGCAAGGTTGGCCCTTTTTTCTAGGACGGGTTAGTTCTAGATATACTTAGGTTATCAATAATCCCTAGCTATATATCCTAGTTTATTATAATTATAATACTTAAACTTTTTTTTTAATCGGTCTTTTTCCTTTCTAGCGATATTAAAGTCTATAGGACCTTTATACTATCTATAAGCGGTATTTTAGTAATTACTATTCTAATTATTATAGGGTCGTTAATTAATTTAAAAATTACGTTAAGGTTACTATTAATACTTATATCCTATATTAGATTCCTACTTACGATCTTTTTTTTTTTTTTTTTACTTATAAAATCGGTTATCAAGCTTAATAGCGAGTTTATTATATTAAAGGAAGTTATCTAGTTTATTAAATAAGACTAATTTATCCTTAACCTTATCCTTTAGTCTTTAATAAAATATAAATATTTTCGTATTATTAGTAAGGTCTAGCTAGGTACTAAGACGTTTAAACTTAATAAAGTATTTTTTTACTAATTTAGTTTATTAGAGTTATATTAGGTCGTACTTAGCTTATCGTTTCTTATTAAGGTCTTAAAATAAGGACTTAAGGGCTTTTTCGAACTTATTAAAGCTATAATAGATATTGTATATTTTAATAGAATATTTATTAAGAGTTTTTTTATTAAAGTATTCCTTTTAAATTAATTCGAACCATTTAAGGGCTCGTCCTTTAAGAAAGCTAGTAGTATATATAATTTTTTTAATTTTATTAATGAAATCTTTATAGTGAAAGTTTTGATAGTTCTTAACTTAAATTAAAAATCCTTTAAGAGTACCTAGGGTACCTTTATAAGTAATAGGTACGTTAAGTTTAAGTTTTTATCGTCCTCCCTAAAGGGGAGTGCTAATAATATTAGTAGCAGTTTAGAAAGTATTAACTTTTTCTTAAAGAGCCTAAACGTTAGTATTTAATTCTTGTTCTTTAATTTAAATGACTTCGTTTTCTAGGTCTTAAATATACTAAGGACTATTCCTAAACTATTAGATTATAATTTTAAGGTTCTAAAGCTTATTTACGGTATCATTATATATAGTTTATACTTTAGCAATATTTATATCCCCTTTTTTAATTCGTTTTTTAAATTATTTATAAATATCTTTATTAAAGGTAACCTTATCGTTGGAATTAATATTTATCGGGGCTATCTTTATTTCTTTAGCTAAATTTCGAATAGGTTATTTAAAAGAAATAAAGGAGCCCGGAATAGATAACTTTATAAAGGTACGGGAAAATATCGTTTGTACTATTTAGTTAGTTTTTTTATAAAGTAAACTTACTAAATAGGAATAATTAAAGTATTATAGCTAGCTAATCATAGTGAGTATATTAATAGAAGTTAAGGCTACGAGGGCTAAATAAATAGTATAATAGTCGTAGATAGCTTCCCTAAAACTATATTTATAAGTTAAAAAGTAGGTAAGGCTTTAATAATTAATCGTAGTCTTATTAAAAAGTGTTCTTAATAAAGATAGTTAAAAACGATTATAAAATCTAATATTAAGTTAATTATTAAAGAAGCTATAAGAAGTCTATTTTAGAGCCCGGCTCGAGTCTATATTATATATAAGTCTCGTTCTTAAATATATCCTTTATTTATATATTTACCTAACGGGCTCCGTATTTTAAATATACGGGCTCCGTATTATAAAAGAACGGGGTCCGTATTTTTAATATACGGATCTCTTTATTTCTTATCGTTACGTAACTTAATTTATAGTTTTTCTATTCCGTTAGGGTAACGTATATATTTTATTTACCTATATATATATATAGTTATACCGTAGCCGCTATAAGCCCGCGGGGTAGGCCCTAGTTTTAATCGTATATATTAGGTCGTAACACTGCCCCGTAAGCTTATAGCGGCTATATATATAACAATTAAGAACTTAATATTATTAATAAGATAAAAGAACTATAATATAAACTATATAATAATAAAAGAATTAATTATATAATAAAGTAATAGTTATAATTATTTATACTAAACAATTATTAGGACCTATATTGTAGTTATCAATATATATAATAAGTAATATAAAATAAAGAATACATTTAAAATTAAGATTTATATATAATATAGATTTAAGCTAGGTTTAAGAATAGATTTTTATAGCTTTTTTAATTATTAACTTTATATTAGATTTTATAATTATTTTTAATTATTTAAATTAAAATTCTTTCTAATAAACTTATAATTAATTATTAAAGTCTTATTTCATAACTTATAAACTTAATTTCTTTTAAAAGTTATTTAATAATCTTTTTGATTATTATTTAGTTTTTATAGCCTAAACTATTATAAACTTATTTTATTATATCTAGCTAGCCGTAATACTAGTTAGGTGCCCGTTTATTAGGCCCCATTATAATTATAAAATAAAAAGTTTAGATTTAAATAATTTAACTTTTATAGTCAATAGATTTAATATTATTAAATACGGATTTAAAGATATTTATCATCTTACTATATAAAAAAGATTATAAAAATCGTATTAATATATACAATATTTATAATATAGGGTCTTAAATAAGAGCTAGGCTTATAATTATTATAAGTTATAATATATAATAATAAATATATAAAGTATTATAAAAGTAATACAACGTACTTTACTAATCAGCTGCGTATATTAGTCAGCTACGCACTTTTTCCATAATACGCTTTATTCTTAGCCACTTAAACCTTTAATATATAATATTTTAATAACTATAATATTAATTTATACCTAAGAAGAAAAGATTATTTTTGTTATTAAGGCGATCCGATCAATACGTACTATAAGTCATAAGTTAAATAGGCAAGGCACTATAAATATATATAATATCCCCAAAAGTACCATTGTTATGATTTCTCTAGGAAATTCTACTGAGATTTCCCCGTAAATATAGAGAGAAATCTAGCGGTGAAACTCCTAAGATTTTACCGGGAATTCTCAGTAAAAAGGTACTAGAAGTTCTTAAGATTTCCCCAGGATTTCCCCATAAAATCTCAGGGTATATCTTAGGGATTTCACCGTAAAAGCAC